GGGTTGTTGTAGGTTTTTCCGGGCTATATGGCCATGTTCTAGAGACATTTTCTCCTGACGTTTCGCCTGCATCTATGGCAAGCACCACTACTCTGAGGATGCTTGCCATAGATGCAGGCGAAACGTCAGGAGAAAATGCCTCTAGAACATGGCCATATAGCCCGAAAAAACCTACAACAACCCAGTGATTCCAGCCATGAAATCCTTCGACAATAAATGGAACAAACGATGACGACTCTGTGTGCCAATTTACTGCCTCCAGTAAATACTAGCTATGAGAGCTCTCTCTTGGATCCACCGAGTAAATAGCCCTTGCTTTACATCAGTGCTTCTCAACTTTCCTAATGCCGTGACCCCTTAATACAGTTCCTCATGTTGTGGTGACCCCCAACCATAAAATTTTTTTACTACTTCATAACTGTAATTTTGCTACTGTTATGAATCGTAATGTAAATATCTGATATGCAGGATGTATTTTCATTCACTGGACCAAATTGGGCACAAATACCCAATACACCCAAATTTGAATACTGATGGGGTTGCGGGGGATTGATTTTGTCATTTGAGAGTTGTAGTTGCTAGGATTTATAGTTGACCTATAATCAAAGAGAATTGTGAACTCTACTAATGATGGAATTGAACCAAACTTGACACATAGAACTCCCATTACCAACAGAAAATACTGGAAGGGTTTTGTGGGCATTGACCTTGAGTTTGGGAGTTGTAGTTCACCTACACCCAGAGAGCACTGTGGACTCAAACAATGATGGATCTGGACCAAACTTGGCACGAATACTCAATATGCCCAAATGTGAACACTGGTGGAGTTTGGGGAAAATAGATCTTGACATTTGGGAGTTGTAGTTGCTGGGATTTATAGCTCACCTACAATCAAAGAGCATTCTGAACCCCACCAACAACAGAATTGTGCCAAACTTCTCACACAGAACCCCCATGCCTTGAAGGGATTCGCTGGTTTGAGCCTCTCTCCAGCCTCACACGCACTCCCTCACCCATAAATGCCCACCATGCTGCCATGTGCCAAGCCCGCCTGCTCTCCCCTACCCACTTGGGAGTCTCAGAAACAGCCCTCCCCTTGGCTGAGAGGCTGACCAATCACGGCAGAGGAGGACTTTTGGTGGGAGGATTCGAAGTCTGATTCCAAAAAGGAAGAGAAGGACAGGCGGAGAGATCTTCAGCCTTCTCTGCCAAAGAGGTTTCTAAGACCATCAGAAATATATGGTGGTCTTTGATGACCGCACTGAAACCCCCTCTCAATCCCCCCCCCAGGGGTCCCGACCTCCAGATTGAGAAACACTGCTTTACATTATAACTAACTTTATAGGATCTAGTGATCACAAGCTGAGGTTTTACCTAATCTATACATTCCTGCTAAGCTACGCTGGATACAAGGAAATTACATCAGTTTCCTAACTAGCTAAACACATCTCAGACTTTTAATAACCACACTAAGTCATTTGAGTCAAACCCAATAACTGTATGACTTTGAAACACTGAAACAGTGAGGCCTACATAATACTGGAGCTCTGAGGGATATGTTTTATTTCTTCCAGCCATCCGTTAAAGCTTGCCTTTGCCTCCACAACTATCCTCTTGGCAGGCACATGGACCCCAAAACAGGTTGTACTACATCTTCACACTATTTTCTCAAGGATGTGCAGCATTCAAAAGCACAGCGGTTACTAGGCAAGCAGAAAAAATGAAAGCTATATCCAACCGCCGCCCCCCCCCCCGCCCCCCCAACACAACAACAAAAGGAAATAGCCAAGTTGAAGAGAGCAACATTTTTCTTATCTCTGAATTCACAGGGAGGAAAGACAACTCACTCTATCTAGGAGCAAGTGCATGTTTCTATGCTATGTTTCTTAGGCATCCCATCTCCAGATTGATGCAAATACATCTGATTTTCAGTATGGATTCTTTCCTCTTTGGGCAGGTATTTTACTTTGTCAAAATGCTGTTTGGTCAAGGACCTTGCAACTTTATCCAGGTAATTATTTCAGTAGTATTCCTTAGATCAGTGGTTCTCCATCTGTGGGTCTCTGGGGTTTTTTTTGGTCTACAACTCCCAGAAATCTCAGCCAGTTTACCAGCTATTAAGATTTCTGGGAGTTGAAGGCCAAAACATTTTCAACCCACAGGTTGAAAACCACTGCCTTAGATGAACACAATACACTGACCAAGGGGTAAGAGTCTGTTACTGACCCCTGGGGAGATGGAAGGCCACCCTACCAGCACTCAGCCTCCCTCCCCCTACTCAGTGGTTCTCAACTTGTGGGTCTCCAGATGTTTTGACTTTCAACTCCCAGAAATCCTAACAGCTGGTAAACTGGTTGGGATTTCTGGGAGTTGTCGTCCAAAACACCTGAGGGCCCACAGTTTGAGAACCATTGTCCTACTTCAACAAGACAAAATGTGTCCCCACTGAATTTAGTTCAAAGGTTGTGTTTGCAAGGCAGAAGTTTCCAAATGTTCTTGGACTGTAGCTTCCAGAATTCCTTACCACTGCTATGGTGCCTAGGCCTGATGAGAATTGTAATTCCTGCCACATTGGCCTCATTGCTCAAGTTATTTATATATATTTCCCCTTGCTATGCTGTTTTGTTAAACTCATATGGGGTGTTTTAAAAATCAGAGAACATTCAAAATTATCATCCTTTTGTTTATATTTTGAAGTGGTAAGAGTTCACTGTCCACCCTGAACTCCGAGACTGGAATCCTCTTTCTGGCCTATGCTAGTGTAACCACGAATTAAACTTTGTCAACAATGCACTAGCAAGGAGGTATCCTATAGAGATCCCTGCACAAGTATTTTTCTGAGTCTGAGGAATATGTTGTTAGAACATTATGTGTCAAAGAGGACCCTGTCATTAACCTCCTTGCCCTCATTTCATATACTACAGGAGTACATCAATTAAAGAAGTGTGTCGACTTTCCTCATCACCCATCGGGCCAATTCCAAAGATTAGGTGGTAATATGAGGTCGTATACACACCATACACCCTGGTGGGACAGTGAGTTAAACTGCTAACCTGCTGAACTTGCTGACCGAAAGGTCGGTGGTTTGAATGTGGGGAGTGGGGTGAGCTCCCGCTATTAGCCCCAGCTTCTGCCAACCTAGCAGTTCAAAAACATAGAAATGTGAGTAGATCAATAGGTACCACTTCTGTGGGAAGGTAACAGTGCTCCATGCAGTCATGCCGACTACATAACCTTGGAGGCGTCTATGGACAAAGCCGGTTCTTTGGCTTAGACATTGAGATGAGCACCACCCCCAGAGTGGGGCACGACTAGACTTGACATCAGGGGAAACCTTTACCTTTATACACACCATATAAAATGACTCCTGTATTACTCCTAGGCCAAACTGAATGATTTGGCTAGTTCAGTGGACACTTCCTAACTATAGCTCATTGCAACCCCAATACCTCATGATATTAATAGATATAATACACAAGCTCAGCGAGCAGTATCAAACCCCTTTTGACCATAGGAAGTTATTTATGTTGTAGCACAACCAACCTATATTACAGCAATGTATTATGAGTTTTAAGAAAAAACATGCAGCATGAGAGCAAAACACAGCTGTTTCCATTGCAAGTGGAAAAAAGGCATAATTTGAGCCAAGGCTCATCAAGCTTTATTCTTGAAATCTGGAATCTTTTACTATCTGGACTCAGCTGTGGAATGAGTGCCTCTATTTGCATACCGAGTGCATTCACAACTCAGTGTTGTCAAATCACCCTCATTTACTGGGAATTTGATGTAAGTGTGAGGGTCACTTTGCATTCCTTTATAACCAATGAGACACTGCAGAGCAATGCAAGAATAAGTGATATGACTGAGTGGTTTATTGTACTCCAATTTAATTTTTCCACTGTTTTCACATGGAAAACCGCTAATTTTAATCTCCCAACGTTCAGGACATGGTGCTCCAGTTTTCCAATGCTTCATAGACTCTTTTAAATAAATGCTCATTTTGTGAAAGGTTGGAAACATTCATTTTGGGTCTTCAGCTAAGATTTTGGGATGTGTAGGCCCCAAAATAACATTTCCAAGCTTTGTCTATTCCTCTGTCTTTCCCAATATGCAGTGCTCTATAGACTCCTACTGCAGTCTACACCAAAACTATCTATTATGGTTAAGTAAGAAAACCCAATAAATGGGCTGTTGTGAGTTTGGCCATGTTCTAAAAGCATTCTCTCCTGACGTTTCGCCTCCACCTATGGCAGGCAACCTCAGAGGTTGTGAGGTCTGTTGGAAACTAGGAAAATTGGGTTATGGAATATCCAGGGTGGGAGAAAGAAATACTGTCTGTTTGAGGCATGTGTGAATGGTGCAATTGGCCAGCCAGGCTTTGAAGCTACAAGGCAATTAAATACTAATCAAGGTGGCCAATTGCAACATTCACACCTGCTTCAAACAGACAAACATTCTTTCTCCCACCCTGGGCATTACACAGATATATAAACCTCATTTTCCAAGTTTCCAACAGACTTCACAACCTCTGAGGCTGCCTGCCATAGATGTGGGTGAAATGTCAGGAGAGAATGCTTCTGGGACATGGCCATACTGCCCAGAAAACTCACAACAACCCAGTGATTCTGGCTGTGAAAGCCTTTGACAACACATTAACCCAATACATTCCTGTCAAGCCAAGAAAGGAATAAGCAATAGCACAACGTCTCAAACCACTCTCATCTGAGGTGGTTTTTATAAATACATCACCCCACCCACCCCTGTATATGATAATTACATCAACGCCACTAGAGCCATGAGAGTTACCCTGACATGGCCCTCTAAAAGAACATTCAGAAATCAATTCCTTGTTTGGGGTGGGAAAGAGAGGGAGCATATAAACAACTGCATAGGCTATTTTTTAAAAAAACAAAACATTAGAAAACCCAGCTGAGTACAAAATACCAAATTAAGGAGCCCTCGTCCTCCCCTCTCCACACTGAAAGCTTTCCCCCCCCCCCCCCCCCAGGAGAGAATCAACGGAGCAAGAAGCGTGGCTGCTGAGGTCTCCACATCTACGAGCAACAGAGCAAAAGAAGCAGCCGCGCCGCCCTTCCCAAGTGGCTCTCTTTCCTGGCACCGCTTTCCGTCAGCCCTTGTCAGTCCGAGGCGCAGAACGTGAGGTAGCCAACTAGCAAGACTGTGGTCCTGAGGAGGGGTTAAGAGACCGGCTCCCCGTGGACACGGAAACGGTAGATGCAGGTATATTCCGGGTGGCCCCAGTTGCTCAGGACTCGGAGCTCAATCAGCTGGAAGGCTGCAGATGTCCTGTTTTCATCCTGATGGCAAAAAGAAGAGAAGAGAATAAAGAGGGAGGCATCTGAGAATCATTAAATAGTAGAGTTGGAAGACCCCTCGTGGGTCATCCAGTCCCACCCCATACCAAGAAGCAGGAAAAGCACCCCCGACAGAAGGCCATCCAGCCTCTGCTTAAAAGACTCCAAAGAAGGAGCCTCCGGGGGGGGGGGGAAGGGGGGAGCTTGAGGGGCTTGACCCCCCCCCCCCAAATTCTCAGGGTGCTCCACAAGAAGGCCTTACTGGTACATTATTTACATTTATTCATATCATGATCTGATCACCATGCTCAATATATCCCATATGCATGGGGCTATTGGGTAACGATACAAAAGGTTTGCCCGCTTTCACTCAGACTCAGCCCCCCCCCCCCCCCCCCCTCAAAAGCCTGAAGGAGCCTCCACCACACTCCAGGACAGTGAGTTCCACTGCTGAACAGCTCTCACAATTAGGAAGTTCTTCCTAATTGAGAAATGAGATATACCATTGGATAGTAATCTCTTTGGCCTATCTCTTGTAGACTTAGAAAGCTTCCAGGTCTGCTGGGAATTGTGATCCCTCTACATAGTATTTCTAAGGTATGTAATTCTTGTTGAGGAAGAGAGGAGAATTATTCCTCCTCTTGTCTAACTTTGCTTGATTTTCTTTGAAATATCCATCCATTGGAATGGATGAATCAAAACATTGCACAGTTCTTATTAGGAGACATAATTGATGTATGTTTTTAATACTACTGTTATGGTTTTATATTACACCTTCATGCTTTTAAATGTTTTATGGTGTATTGGGCATTGAGTTGTCTGAGGGCTGAGAAGGTCAGTATACAAATACAGTAAGTAATAATAATAATAATAATAATAATAATAATAATAATAATAATGCAGCTGGCTACTAACTAGCTGCGTCACAGCCTGGTCCTTAACCTAGCAGTTCGAAAACATGCATGAGTAGATAAATAGGTACCGCTTCGGCTGGGAAAGGCAAAGAGACGCTCCAAGATGCTTTTTCTGGCAACACAACCAGGAGGTGATAATGCAGGCTCCTCGGTTTGAAAATAGAGAAAGTACCTCCCCAGAGCCAGAGATTGCCTCCAGAAGCCGGAAATGAAAGGAGAAGCCTCTGCCTTTGTTTGTGTCTCTCATCGTAAATTATTGTAAAGACACTGAATGTTTGTCTGTGTATGTAAATGCTATAATCTGCTCTAGGGGAGAAGAGTGGAATATAAATAAAGTGTATCTTAGGTGGGAGTAAGCCATCTTTCCCCCTTCTCTTAAGCACCGAGAGCCTCTGATTGCCCTCTTTCTGGTACAGTTAACACTCCAACTAGCATTTGGTGCCTGACTTCCTTGTCCTACCTGGAGGTGGAATGTCTGAATGGGATCTCCCTCTTGGTCGTATGTGAATTGCCCAAGGAGAACACCTTCTTGCAGCCCTTCTTCTTCCAGGCCCTGCAGTGGAAACAAATAGAGTTGGGGAGTGGGAGGGGGCGTTGAGGTGAAGGAGGGGAGGGCCAAGGGAGAACAGAGCCATCACAGGATCAGAGAGAGGGAGGGACACAAGTGCAGTTAAAGGCCAGTCTTCCAGCTGCATGCCAAAACAAAACACACAGGGCAATGAGGAGGCAAGGGAGACACAGGAACAGCAGGGGCAAGGGAAGAAGGCTGATAGTTATGAATGTTTTCATCCTCTCCTTCCTTTCCCCAGACAGATCCGTTTATTGAATCTCAAGCTAAATCATGGACTTTAATGATACAAGAACTCCTCTTTCTCTTTGGACAGAGCTCAGAAAAGACGACAATTCTGACAGTTTTTCCCCCCCAAGCAATATAGCTAGTGGCCATGCGGTCTGGGAGATTTAATGAGCTATATTCCCCATGGGGAGAAAGGTGGAGTCTAAATAAAAATAATAAATAAATAAAATAGTAGGTTTCTTATGTGCTGGTTCATTGAGAGGGATTAGGAATATATGAAATACAATTTTCAGAACTTTTATTTCCCAGGATTCCCCAGGGGAAGCCATGACGTTGGCAGAAAACCGATCTTGTTTGTGATATTAATAGGTCCACAATGCTGGCCCACATATGTTCCACTCATAGAATCACAGAATCATAGAGTTGGAAGAGACCTCGAGGGCTATCCAGTCCAACCCCCCTGCCAAGAAGCAGGACCTTGTCGGCCACTGCACCATTTCTATCATTTACATGACTGCTCTCACCCCAAAAGTCTCTTTTCCCCATCCCTAATAAAGAATCGTTTTCAATTTTCTCTCTCTCCATATTCTGTCTTTCTTCCCCCTACTTTCTTGATTATAACAAATGTGTTCTCCCACTTTCATTGTAAAAACTCTCTTTTTCTCTTAAGCCTTGAAAAATCTATTAATAAAAATAATTTGGAAAAAAATAATCTTTTTCATTCAGGCATTTGCGTTGGAGATGCTCTGAGCTCGAGCTCTGAGGATTACCTGGGAAGGAATCTCACTGGAGCATTGAAGCACACCAAAATACCTGGGACTTACTCTGGACTGTACTTTGACTTATAAGAAGCACTGCCTGAATATCAAGCAAAAGGTGGCCACTAGCAATAATATCGTACAAAAACTGACTGGCACAACCTGGGGATCACAACCAGACACAGTGATGACATCTGCCCTTGCGCTTTGCTACTCTGCTGCTGTATACTCATGCCCAGTGTGAAATACATCTCACCACATTAAAACAGTGGATATGGCTCTTAATGAGACATGCCACATTATCACAGGATGCCTATACTCTACACCACTGGAGAAATGACACTGTTTAGCCGATACTGCACCACCTGACTTCCATCGGGATGTATCCATCCATCGGAAGTAGCAGCCAGTAATCAAAGGACCAAGGCAGTGGCATCTCCAGCTCATCCTCTGTTCGGTTATAAGTCAGCATACTGATGTATTAAATCAAGAAATAGCTTCCTAAGATCTACAGTAATACTCGTAAGAACACCTCAGCAAGCAAGAGCCCAAAAGTGGCAGGCTAAAACCTGGAACCTCAATCAGTGGCTGAGACTGGATGAAAAACTCCCTCCTGAGCACACAGAAGGCTGGGTGACTTGAAAAGCATTTAACAGGCTGCGCTCTGGCACCACGAGATGCAGAGCCAACCTTAGGAAATAAGGCCACAAAGCGGATTCCATGACATACAAGTGTGGAGAAGAGCAAAGCACAGACCACTTACTACAATTCTGTCTGAGCCCTGCCACATGCACAATGGAGGATCTTCTCACAGTGACACCAGAAGCACTCCCAAGTGGCCAGCTTCTGGTCAAAGGAAATTTAGTATAATGCCCAATTTGTAACTTTGTGTGTAGTTTTTTATAGATTACTAGCCGTCTCCTGCCACATGTTGCCATGGCCTAGTCTGTATATATGTGTGTATATATATTTGTGTATATATGTATATATGTGTGTTTGCATATGTATGTAATTTTGTGCATGCATTGTAATATAATTTATTGTTTTTTGGCTTTTTCAGTCTCTTCTGCTATGATTTTTAGTGTTTTTATGAGTGATGATCACTTGTTGGACTGATAGGTGTATTGTGTAACTTTGGGGTCAATTCATCCAGTGGTTTCTGAGTTATGTCAATCCCACAAACAAACATTACATTTTTATTTATATTGATAACTATATTCCCAATTTGCTTCTAACACATTTGAGTTACCTTGCCCATTTATAGTGATATTGTGTATAACAAATGCAAGAAGGAAAAGGAACTGTGCATCTTAGGAGAACTTACACTACTCAAGAGAGCTGATGGTTGAGGAAGAGATGAGTCCTGATTTTAAATAGCTGGTTGGCATGTAATGCCTTGTGCTCTCTAGTTCAAATCAACTGTGGATATTCGATTTGATGGCTACTTAGGATGGAAATTTAAGAGAACATGCATTGAAAGAGTTACATGAAAACTGCAGGGGAAGTAAGAAAACAACCCATCTTCACTGGGATCAAGGTAGAACTGGACAAAATTAAATAGGCCACTTTGTAGTTCTTTTGACAAAAACTGGGAGGGGACCACTGCATTGCGAAAGTACCAGAGGTCTCAGGATGCCCTGCCTCAAGAGTATGAGAGACTTCTCCTATCACAGGATGGAAAATATATTTCTGTTTTCAAGTGTGCCTCCTTGTAACTTGTCCAATTGCTTGCATTCCCTAGTCCCACACAAAAGTGACTTACGTAGACTGCGAAGTCCTTGGGAGCGCTGGGAATGGTTGCTTTGGGCGAGAGAGATCTGGAGATGTGCTCTAGCGTCACATCAGTGGGATAGATGTTGCTTGAAAGGCGAATGACAGCAAATCCCTGGGAGCCTTGAAAAGCCCAGCAGTTCCCCGGCAGGACCTCTGGCTGCAAGGAAGTTAAAGCAAGTGTGGTTTTAGGGAAATGCAACAAAAAGAATGCTGGAGTTAAGGCTTTCTATCCCAAAGTAGAAGAATACAGTAATACACAAACACAATTCAACCAAAAGAAGAAATACAACGTGCTCCGGGCCAACTGAAGATATCATTTGATATGTTTACAACAGGACCTTGTGATAAGATTACCCAGAACTATCTGCTAGGCTTTAAAGCCAAGTCATAAGCTAAATTCACCCAGAAACCAAATACATCTCCATTTTTCATATGTAATGCCACAACTAATATGGTTATTGTGAGGATAACATAGAGTGACCTCCCTTTCCAACACTATCTTGAACTTCTCTCATAAAAGACATCACATTTCTTATCTCGGCACACTTCATAGAGTAGTTTTTCTTTGGCAGATGACATGCCTTCAATGTTGATTGTGATTATTGGTCTTAAAAAGGTCAATTGGTTGGTTTGCTTGTTTGGTTGCATGCTGCAAATAGTTTCTGGTGGCTTCTGGAGTGAGAGAATCAGCTGTCTAGCAACCATATGTGAAAGGACCAAGGCAGCGACATCTTCAGCCCATCCCGTTTGGATATCAGCCAGCACGCCAACGACTAAAATCAAGAAATAGTTTTCTAAGGTCTATTGAGAAAGTCACTCAGCAAGTGAGAGTCCAAAAGTGGCAGGCTCAAACCCAGAACCTCAATCAATGGCTGATACCAAATGGGAGACTCCCACCTGGGCACACCGAAAACTGGGCGACTTGGACGGCGCTGAACAGACAGCACTCCAATACCACGAGCAGAACCAACGTCAAGAAATGGGGCTACAAAGTGGAATCCACGACATGAGTGTGGAGAAGAGCAAAGCACAGGCCACCTACTACAATGCAACCTTCTTGCAGCAACACCAGAGGCACTCCAAGTGGCCAGCTGCTAGTCAAAGGACATTTAATAGAATGCCAAGTTTGCAAACTTTGTATGTGTTTTTTTTTAATACAATACAACTGTTTGGTTCGCTCCTGACACGATAAGTAAATAAGTATCATAAAAGACTGTATAAAATGTGGATAAGAGATAGGATATAGTAGAGAATACACTTTCTTATATAGAGACTAGGTTTAGAGGAGAAACTATAATACAGGGCTATTAATTGATGCCATACCTGCAGAATGACTCGTGGAGACTGAGAGTGGTACCACAAGGGAATCCCAAAAAGACTGAGCAGAGCAGTCTTGGTCTCGTATGTTTCTGAGCATCGAGTACTGATAACGCTGGCCCCTGTAATCGTAGATTAAGTTGAAGCCAAGGAAAAGAACTCACAATAGGAAGCAAGCTTGTATACAAATGTTCCCACTATAGTCAGAACTAACTAAAAAGTCTTAGGTTAGTCCTAACATCTAGATACACAGTGTATTTTGAAARGAAACAGAAAATTCTGGCATTCTCCTATGTTATTTAGCATTGTCACCATACTTCTACCCCTTAGGCATAATTGGAAAATTTCCGGTACCCCCCCCCCCCCGCCCCAGTATATCAATAATTATCAGCTTGTTGACCTTGAGTGTCCATACCTGCAGATTCAAGTGCATAATCAAACATCCCAATGCGATCTTCACTGTACCGATTCAGAGCCTGTTTCACAATGTGGTGCACATCCTGAAGGAAAACAACAGCATGGAATGAAAGGAGAGAACTCTCAGAATGCTAAAGTGATTGCACTGTTCTTTCGGGATACAACTGAATCATGCAAATGACAACGCTTTTGGGGGAATTACAGAAAAGCCTCCCAGATTTTCAAAGCATGAGACTAAGTACTAAGATATATATCGTCGATATATATTTTAAATAAACACATCCCACACAACAGTCACCACTATTAGAATTCCCCAAAAAGACTCCATGAGAAACCACGTGAACCAGGGGATCACTGTATCCTCACCTCTTGCGTTACTCCTATGACTCCTTCCCTTTGGAGCGCTACTCGAACGTTCTGCACTGAGAATTCCTGGTCCTCTGAGATCCTGGCAAGAATCTTCTTCTCCAATGCAAGTAGCTGTTCCTGCAGCTCATCTTGTTGGAGGAATAAACTGCCTGTCCCATCCTTTCTTGACTGGGACAGGAACTGGCTTAGCCACACCGGAAATTGGACTTCCACCTGAGTTCACCAAAACAAAAGGGTTGATAAATGCAGTTAGATAATTGAACTGCAGACTTTTCTGCCAGAAGATGTCATGATGGTCATCCACTTGAAAGCCTTTAAACTGGGTCTGGACAAGTTCCAGTTAAACAGGAAGACTTGAAAGGAAATGTAACTGGAAACTCACATCTTCCCTTATTTCCTTGATCTGTCTTGGAAGAGACTCCACGTGTTTTGACAACACCTTCTGATCTGAAGCCAAGTTTCCAAATTCCTTCTTCAGGCTTGAAAGCTGTGCCTCTAGCCTGTCCATCTCCTTTCGGAAACTTCCCATCAGACTGTCCTGGGTAGAGCTTTAGGAGGAAAACAAAACTGTCAAGCACTGTGAGTAATTCAAAGTTTCATATTTTTGGACCGCTACCCTAGAATCCCACAACTAGCATGGCCAGTGATCTTCTTTAAAATAGTGGGGATTCAAATGCTGTAAACAAATAGTTAACAAATAAATAAATACTGCAAATTGCCGTATATACTTGAAAATAAACTGAGTTTTTCAGCCCTTTTTGGGGCTGAAAAAGCCTCCCTCAGTTTATAATGGGATTAAGTCAGGCAGCAGGGACTGGCGGCCATTGCATGCAATATATATTTATCTCTCCTCCCTTAATAGTGTCTTTTCTTTTCCAAATCCTCCCTTTCTCAGTCGAGAGAGAAGCCCTTGCAAGTCAGGAATATCCATTAATCTTATAAAAGCATTCTCCTCTGAAATAATTGTTAATCTCTCCTCCAGATATATAGGCATTTCCTCCTGCAGGTCTTTGCAATCGCTATGTACCTGTATATCTGTATCTTTCGATCTATATACATTAGTTTTACATATGAATTACATATAGATATCTAGAGATTTCCATGTACCTGTATCTGTACCTATATGTACACATTATTTTTATATATGAATTTCCCCTCACATGTTTGCAAGTCTCTGAAATTCCTGTATAGATATAATTATCTATATATCGATAGATGTCTAGACAGACATATATGAATATAGATATATAGGGCTTGCCAATATTACAGGGGGAAAATGCACACAAAATATATATCTACATGTCTAGATAGATATGAATATATATATATATATGGCATGCAAATATTGCAGGGGAAATACACACACACACACACACATATATAGAGGTGTCTAGATAGATATGAATATAGATATATAGGGCATGCAAATATTTCAGGGGAAATGCACACACACACACATATAGAGAGAGGTATCTAGATAGATATAAACATAGATATGTAGGGCTTGCAAATATTGCAGGAGGTAAATCACATATATATAGAGAGAGGATTTGCAAATGTTTCAGGGGAAAATACGTGTGAAATTAATATATATAATTATAGATCTATATCTAGCTCTGCACTGTTTATATAGGCATTGAATGTTGCCTGTTACAATGTTGGAAGCCCACCTGAGTCCCCATGGGGGGGGGGGGATAAGGTGAGAAATAAATGAAGATTATTATTATTATTATTATTATTATTATTTTATTGTTGATACCATATTGTTTTTGTTAACCCTACTTATCCACCTACAGAGCTAGTTTACTGTTGGAATATGGTAAATATTCAAAAACATTTAACCTATTGATGTCTCAATTAATGTTATTTTTTTGTATCTATTTTTATTTTGAAAGTTACCAGTAGTTGCTGCATTTCCCACTCTAGGCTTGTACTCGAGTCAGTAAGCTTTGCCAGTTTTTTGTAGTATAATTAGGTGCTTCAGCTTATATTCAGGTCGGCTTATACTCTAGTATATACGATAATAGTAAGTAAATATAAAGGCATTTTAGAGGAAGCTATTAAGCCAGTAACTAAGCACAGCTCTTGCATGTCTCTGCTTGAATGCCACAAGGCTTCAGGAGGATGTTACTTTTTGGGTACACCAGTTTCATGCACTTGCTCACAACATTCCTCTATTTGTTCACAACATTTTTGGCAATGCTTACTCTCATTACAGTTGCCTTTTCATTATTGTGCAGGAGAATGCAGGCACTGCCTCAGCAGATCATTGCCTAAGCCAGTAGCTATCGCCCTTTGGACTTTCAGATATTTGGGTGAGTTCCCAGAATCTCTAACTACTGACTGGTCAAATTCAAAACATTGAGGGCGGATTGTTGATAACCCTTGGTCTAAACAGGACTATAATGTACATGCTTATTGTAATCACAAATCCAGATGCTCTGAATTCTGATCAGGGAGGAATCAAGGTGGTTCTAACAACAGCTGCTATTTATTTATTTACAGTATTTATATGATGGGTTGTGGCTGCTAGCTGCATCATGCCGTACTTCTTCCCTTCACATGTGGTTATGGAGTCGGGTAATTAAGTCAACATGTGGGTTCTGGAGAGAAGCAGTGATGATTTGGACCAGGTAACAGGGTGGAGTATTGGAGAGACTGGGACTGAAAACCATCAGATCCTTCAGCAACAGAGATACTAGCACTTGAGTAAAGAGGAGCTACTAAGGAGATAACAAAGAGGTTCATTGAATAACCTCTTTGTTCGGTGGGTTATACAGCAACAATACTTGGGATTGAACTGGGGAATTGCTATATTTATTTCTTGGTTGAACTACGAGTTTTCCAGCACTCGGATTATATAGGTGGGGAAAATAACCCAAAGGAAGAATTTGGGGCAGCTTCTGCCTAGTATTTAAACTTCTCAAAGTATTCTGGGAAATTATTATGCAGAGAAACATGTTGCACAAAAAATTAATGGTTTTGGTACAAAAAAGTAATGTGTGTTTCTGAAAATAGTGAAGGTGTGTTTTTTACATAAAAGTCCCCACATTTTTTGTGCCACAAACTCCTCATATATTTCTATGCAGAATAATTTCTGAAATGCTTCGGGATGTATGAATTACTGTAACAGTATAAGACACATTGTTCAGATTACCTTTGCCATTGTGAGCTCATTTGGAGCATCCGGCCCTCTGTCTCCTGAAGGAAAAACAACACTGGTTAGGACAAGGAAAGAAACAGGACAAGATCTATTGTGACCCCAAATTCAAATGTGAGTACAGCCAGAGTAAAGCTGGAGAATCAATGGGGACAATCTAGTAACAACATTTTTGTAATCTTAATTCAGAAGACTTCTGTTAATTGAGGCTAAAGTCTGAATTTCCACCTTATCTTTTGTTTAGAATTGGAGGGCAATAACAAAGCTAAGTGTTGCTCTTTATTTACTGTCCTGATTTTAGAGTTTTTAAAACTGGTAGCCAGATTTTGTTCATTTTCATGGTTTTCTCTAACAACCACCATGTCAGACTACACAGAGAAGCCACTGAAATCCACAAGCATGTGGACAATTTCAATAGAAAGGAGGAAACCATGAAAATGACAAAATCTAGCTACCAGTTTTTAAAAAAACTCTAAAATCAGGACAAGACAGTAAATAAAGAGCAACACTCAAAAAGCAGGGAAATTCCAGACAAGAGTCAATCAGGGCCAGCAAACACCTCCCAACAAAGAACTCCCCCAGGAAGCAATCAGCCAGGCTTGGAAGCTGCAAGGCCATTAAATGTGAATTAAGGTAGCCAAGTGCAACATTCACACTTGCCTCAAGCAGACAAGAGTCCTTTCTCCCACCCTGGACATTTCACAAATATAAAAATCCCACTTGTCTAGTTTCCAGCAGACCTCACAACCTCTGAGGATGCCTGCCATAGATGTGGGCAAAACGTCAGGAGAAAATGCTTTTGGAACAAAGCCACACAGCCTGGAAAACTCACAGCAAATCAGTGATTCTGGCCATGAAAGCCTTCGACAAAACACATGATTATGAATATTTTCTACTTCATCCCTTTAAAAAAAGACCCAAGGTGGCTAACACTAAAAAAAAAACAATATGCAATTTAAAACCTAAACAACTACCAACACTAAAATAGGATCAAATGTCGAACTATTAAAAATAAATAGTTAAAAACATTTATATTATTCAAACCCAACTAAATGCTAGGCATCACCCCCTAGTTGGGTCTACAATCTATACTGCAAGAGCAATTTTGCATTGTAGACCTTCCCAGATCACAACACCTGCAACTTCTGTAAACGGTGGTCACGTTTTACCTCAGAAGCCTGAGAGATTTTCTTCTGGAGATGATCAAAATCCTTCTGCATCTGGGAACGGAAGGCACCCAACTCGCTCTGCATAAGAATGGAGATGAGAAGTGACATGCAGCTTTGAACAAATTAACAGCTCATGATTAAATGCCAGCCAGCGGTTGAACTTATACGAAATATAATAGAAACAGAGAACACTTGTTTTCGGTTTGAGATAGCTATGATTTGCATTAAAATGCCTTTGCATAGAACTATTGCCCTTTTCTTTTGTAAGCCAAAGGAAATACACACACATACACAAATCCTGCTGCATCTGGGAACAGAAGGCATCCAACTCGCTCCTATAAAGCCCTAAATGTTTCTGGCCCTCGGAGGCTAATATCTGTTGGAGAGGCCCTGCTCTCGGTCCCACCTCCATCATAGGTGCAACTGGTGGGGATGAGAGACAGGGCCTTCTCAGTGGTGGCCCCTTGGCTGTGGAACTCCCTTCCCAGTGAAATTAAATCAGCTCTCTCCCTCCTGACCTTCAGAAAGTAAGTAAAAACATAGCCGTAGAACCAATCTTTCAGAAAGTAGCACAGTGCAATAGGCTGCCATGAAGTGACTGTAACACGATTGGAATGGCTCCTGGATTATGGCTTTGAATCTTGTGTTGTTTTAACAGTTTATTTTAATGTACTGATATGTCATGGTTTTAATGATTTTCTACTTATTTTAATGTATGGTGTATATTGTATTTGTATGTTTATGTTTGCTGTGGCATTGAATTATTGCCAACCTGGAAGCTGCTCTGAGCCCGCTTCGGGGTAAGATAGAGAACGGTAAAAATACAATTTATAAAGTAAGCAAATAAATAAATAAATAAATAAATAAATGAAGTGGCTAATGATGACAAAGATGGAAACAACTACCCAATGCTTCTACTTGAGCAACAAGCATCTTTGTCTTGTGAAATTATATACCTTTGTGATATTGTATAAAATTAATTCTCTCAAAGAGAAGGGCAGGAGATATTGCAATCTTGTAGGCCAGAGTTTCTCAACCTTGGGGTCGGGACCCCTGGGAGGGGTCATGAGGGGAGTCTCAAATGGGTCACCAACGACCATCAGAAAACACAGTATTTTCTGTTTGTCATGGGGGTTCTGTGTGGAAGGTTTGGCTCAATTCTATCATTGGTGGGGTTCATAATACTCTGATTGTTGGTGAACTATAAATCCCAGCAACTACAAATCCCAAATGTCAAGGTCTATTTTCTCCAAACTCCACCAGTGTTCACATTTGCTCATATTGAGTATTTGTGCCAAGTTTGGTCCAGAGCTATCGCTGTTTGAGTCCACAGTGCTCTTTGGACGGAGATGTACTACAACTCCAAAACTCTGGGTAAGGGGTTCTGGGAGCTGAAGTCCAGAACACCTGGAGGACCAAAGGTTGGACACCCACTGCCCTACAGAATTGAAGACTGAAATACCAGAAGCAATTCCTTGCAGTCAGTTCATGTAGATTCAGATTGGCAGCCCAAGGGACCCTCCCTATAGATGCCCTACCTACCTGAAGGTGAAGATGTGTCTCTGTGCGAAGATCCTCTCTCATGGCTGCCTCTCGCCGTTTCACAAGTCCATCCAGAAGTGCCAGGGTGTCTTCATGCGACAGAGAGGCCCCTTCTGTTGATTTTCCTTTCTGGAGCTCCAGCAACGCCGCCGCAGCTTCCAGGGTCTCAAAGCGTCTCTCCAGGGCCTGGAGCCGAGACAATACCTGCTGATGAGCCTTTCAACCCAGAAAAAGAGAGGGAGAGAAATATTGATTACAAAAGGCAGCTTGCAACCACAATTCAGTAGCCTCCAAGACTGAATTATGTAACTCTACATGACGCTGCCCTTGAAGATGGTTTAAAAACTACAGCCATTTAAGTATGCAGAAGCCAGCTAGCAAAAAGTGAATATATAACTCCTATCAGTTGCACTGACCTCTTAATTTGTTCTAAATATGTTATGGCCCCCATATCCACAGGACCAATATATGTGTTTCCTTTTATCCATGTCTGACAAAACATGTCCTTTCTAGACCTTTGCCGCGGTGGTGCAATGGGTTAAACTCTTGTGCTGCAGAACTGCTGACCTGAAGATAGACAGTTCAAATCCGCAAGACAGGGTGAGCTCCCGTATGTCAGCTCCAGCTCCTGCCAACCTAGAAGTTTGAAAACCTGCAAATGTGAGTAGATAAATAGGTATCGCTTTGGCTGGAAAAGGCAAAGAGACACTTCAAGCAATCTTGCTGGTCATACAACCAGGAGGTGACAACGCAGGCTCCTTGGCTTGAAAATGGAGTAAACACCTCCCCAGAGCCAGAGATGAGCACCGCCTCCAGAAGCCGGAAATGAAAGGAAAAGCCTCTGCCTTTGTTTGTGTTTGTGTGTCTCATTGTATATGATTGTAAAGGCACTGAATGTGTGGCTATGTATGTAAATGCTGTAATCCGCTCTGAATCCCCTAGGGCAGAATATAAATAAAGAGTATTATTATTATTATTATTATTATTATTTACACTCCCAAGATAAAATAAAATGCAACATACCGCAGGGAAAACACCAAAGTCTCCTGCTTCATATTCCTTCTTGGTAACCGGAGAAGACCACTTCATGGCTCCCCAAGAAAACACAGAAGACTGGAGCCCAAAGGGGTAAAAATACCAGATGCCTAATATGATTAGAAGAAGGAGATCATCAAGTTAACTTCAGAGTACCCATTATAAGAGTCTAAGTAAATATATATACTTAAGATGCCACACATATAGTAAACATTGTAAAATTGGAGTAATCCATGCAATATCTAAATTCACACATGATATTTACATTTCATTTTGCACATGGCTATATGTTAACAAGACATATAGAAAAAGCAAGTACGGAGACACATCTTCACCTTCAGGTAGGTAGGGCATCCATAGGGAGGACCTTGAGAGCTGTAGTCCCTTCAAAAGTAACTTTCCCAAGCTCTAGATATTTAATTATTATTTATTTATTTACTTCATTTCTACCCCACCTTTCTTGACCTCGGAGGGGACTCGAGGAGGCTTACAAATCCGGCAAAAATTCAATGCCGCACAGGTAAACAATAAAACACATCTAATCATAATATAAAACAATCTAAACATGTAAGCAATTAAAACACATATCAGTTCTTTCTGTAAGAATTTGAAAGACTGATTACTTTAGTTATTCTTGTGGCGTTAGTTCTGTAAATTGCGATTTCCAGAAACTATTCTCAGCAAATGCTTAACTCCAGCAATGTTTTTGTTTTGCTTCTCAGACTTTTTTTACAACTTTCCTTAACTATATACACATAAGTCAAAGCAAAGCAAGGTGACTGGGAACCTTTACAGAAACTCTGCATCATTGTGCCAATTAAGATCTAGGAGTACTTATACTGTTGTCAAACTCTTACAATCTACCTCTCTAAACAAAGTGTATGCATGAGGGAATCAATGTTCTATATAAGCAATAAAGGTTGCCTTAATCCAGCGTTTCTCAACCTGGGGGTCAGGACCCCCCGGGGGAGGGGGTCGCGAGAAGGTGTCAGGGGGGTCACCAAAGACCACCAGAAAACATTGATGGTTGGTCATGGGATACTGTTGCGATACTATTGTTGGTGGGGTTCAGAATGCTCTTTGATTGTAGGTGAACTATAAATCCCAGCAACTACAATAGTCAAAGATCTATTGTCCCCAAACTCCACCAGTGTTCACATTTGGACATATTGAGTATTCATGCCACGTTTGAGTCCACAGTGCTCTCTGGATGGAGGTGCACTACAGCTCCCAAATGCAAGGACAATGCCCACCAAACCCTTCCAGTATTTTCTGTTGGTCATGGGAGTTCTTTGTGTAAGGTTTAGTTCTATTCCATCGTTGGTGGAGTTGAAAATGCTCTTTGATTGTAGGTGAACTATAAATCCCAGGTACTACAACTCCCAAATGACAAAACCAACCCCACCAGTATTCAAATTTGGGCATATTGGGTATTTGTTTCAAATTTGGTCCAGTGAATGAAAATACCTCCTGCATATCAGATATTTATATTACGATTCATAACTGTAGCAAAATGACAGTTATGATGTAGCAACGAAAATAATGTTATGGTTGGGGGTCACCACAACATGAGGAACTGTATTAAGGGGTCACAGCATTAGGAAGTTTGAGAACCACTGCCTTAATCACTTTCAATGCTAGTGTAAAGTTTTACAAGATAGGTAGAGCGCCTGTTTTCACAATGATTTCCTCATACCTTTCTTACTTGCTCAAGGAAGGAAAATGCTGTAACACAACCTACTCATTTGGCTGTACTCACTACTTTTACATTTCCTGACTACAAAATAGTGTTTGCAACCAGACACCACATAAATTTATATCAACTATAAAACTATTTGCAATTTCAGATAATTGTAATACTGTGCCAATACCCAATAACTCCTTTCAAACATATTTATTTGTTTTATAAAACGCAGTTGATGAGAACTAGCAATGAATTCAGAGGTGTAGGTTAGAAATTATTAACTCTTCTATGCAAGTTCTATTTTCTTGTGAAAAGTTTCTCATAAATAGCTTTTCACCTTCTCCTTTAAACTGCAGCCTCAGCAGCTACATCGTCAAAAGAAAAGCCATCTGGAAACAGAATAAAGAGACTGCATGAAAGATAAAGAACTACCCTCAAGGATGTTTTGCAGAAAAATGCAGTGTAAGACAATACTCAGTATGTGTGTGTGTGTGTATCGTGTCAGGAACAACTTGAGAAACTGCAAGTTGTCCAGGAGACGCCCGTATATTTGAAGTTTTTACCTTCCTGTGGGAGGTTTCTCTCATGTCACTGCATGGGGAGCTGGAGCTGACAGAGGGAGCTCATCTGTGCTCTCCCCGGATTCGAACCTCTGACCTGTCATCCTTGCCAGCACAAAGGTTGCCAGCACCACCAGGAGCTCCATATACTCAGTATATAATGGCAACATAGGAAAAATACACAACTCACCGTAACCAAAAGCAGTCAGGAGCAACAGCAGGAGCAGCAAGAGAAACAGCTTCTTCAGGATTGGATAGCTCCTGGACATCAATAAAGCGGAAAGAGAGAATTAGGTAAAGGTAAATGTTTTCTCTTGACATTAAGTCCAGTCGTGTCCGACTCTGGGGATCTCTGTTTCTAAGCCGAAGAGCCAGCGTTGTCCATAGACATACCTCCAAGGTCATGTGGCCAGCATGACTGCATGGAGCGAATAAGCATTCATTTATTTCAGATCTTGGTTATGTAGTTTCTTTTCCCTTTTATTACAATTCTTACAATCCCCAGGCCGTAATCTTTTGAAGCTAGAGAAGGAGCCAAAATGAAACAAGATACTGCTCTTGTCTTTTTCTCCTTTCTTCCATCTCACTTCTAAGCACAGCGTTACACATTGTGGGCCTTTCTAAATCCAATTCACACTATTGGAAATGGAATGGACATATATAGTACAAGGTCATTCTATGATATTACTGATATGTTGGTGCTTTGTCAACATATAAAAGAAAATGGCTGAAATCTTTACTCTCAGGAAAGGTTTTAAAGCAGAAAGTTTTTCAAGAGCAAGCCAAGAATGATACATGGGGGCTAGGAATTAAGGTATTTTTTACTTGATTTAATAACTGCAATATTTAATTCTTATTAGGGATACTGGATTATGACCTGTTAGGATTTTTTTTCCATGTCAGGAGCAACTTGAGAAACTGCAAGTCGCTTTTGGTGTGAGAGAATTGGCCATCTGCAAGAACGTTGCTCAGGGGACATCCGGATGTTCTGTCATCCTTGTGGGAGGCTTCTCTCATGTTCCCACATGGGGAGCTGGAGCTGACAGAGGGAGCTCATCCACACTCTCCCTGGATTTGAACCTCCGACCTGTCAGTCTTCAGCTCATTGAACCCATTGCGCCACTGGGGGATCATAGCCTATTGGATAGCAGAGTTTCAGAAGTGTTCCTTAATTTACTGGGTAATGGATGATCACTGGGTACGAAAATATCTTGTTTCTATTCAATGCTCTCAGCAGACAAAATGTCAAGTAGACGTCTTTAAAATAACTTGTTTGTTTTACTCACAACTTCATGTATTTAAATATATAGGCACATTTCTTGGTGGTTTAAACTTTTAAAACATTATAGTTTGTGTCTTCAACTTATACTATTTATCAGTCTCTTTAAAACTATACTGCTTTTATAACTGTCTACTTCCAAGGGACTCAAGTATCAACTGTCATTCCTCAACTGTCATCCTTTCAAACTGCATTCTTAACAGTCACTGAAGAAGTCACATGGTCTGCAGCCCCTCCCACTACCTTAAGTATATAGAGCTAAGGAAAACTGCAAACCAAAGAAGATATACACTTCAGGAAATAACACATTATAAACAGACAAAACATTAAATAGAGGAGGCTTGAGAAGGTTGCTATTTCCAACAATTCTATTCTGATATCTATATTTTGTAGGTTTGTGAATGCCAGATTTTAAGGACGTGAGCAACTTTGGGACCCAGTCTTGAGAAAAAAGCAGGGTACAAATAATGACAACAACAACAAAAAGGGATCTGATTTTGAGCACATCTTTGGGTCTCTTTAAGTAGCATATACTGTTCTTGTAACTCAGTCATTCCCTATCCTGGAACTCTCCAGATTTTCCCACTACAGTTCCCATTATCCATGGCTAATGGTCACAGATGATGGGAATTTGCAATTAAACACATCTGCAGACATGATGGTAGGGAACTCTAGGTTAGCTAATCAGAGGCAAAATCTGTAATGAAAACAGGGCTATGGCAAAACATAAAGTGTGTATGTAAGTAAATGAAGAAACATACATGCATATATAGAGACATGTTTGCACATGTATAGATACATAAATCTATTCAGATTGTGGGATACACCCCTCCCTTCAGATTAGTCATCAGTTTCCACTGTTGTTGCTTCTTAAGATGGAGGTGAAGACAGATCTCTTTCAACTGAACTTTTCAACTGTTTTGGTTTTTTTAAAACTGATTTTGAAGGTTTCATAATATTAGTGCTGTGACTAATCAGACTGAATAATATTTTAAAGTAGAAATGAAAGAAAAACATGCAATATAATGAAAATAAATAAATACAGAGAGGTAAGACATAGTGATAAATTGGTTGAATTTGGAAAAAGTGCATTCACACTTTTCTCCACCTGCCCAATTATTGCTCCCCTGAGTCAGTTCCATAATCACATCATGGGCGTCTCCTAGCCTTTCTGAATTTCCTTGCGCACTGACCTTGTCAAGACAAAGACATCCAGGAGGGAGGCTGCAGTCGTGAGGCGGTACCACGTCGTCCCGATCCACCAGTATAACAACCCAAAGAACCTTCCTGTGAAGGAAAGAAGAAAGACAAGGGCATGCAAACTCTGCATTTTGGTTTGGTTTTCTAGATAGAGTGCAATACTTTCTAGTTATTAGTGTTCCATAATAATTTCTCAGATAACATATTTTCTTTAGAGGGTCCAGTCTTCTATTTAAATCTATATAAATAAAAATGTAATATTCGTTTGTGGGATTAACATAACTCAAAAACCACTGGATGAATTGACACTAAATTTGGACACAATATACCTATCAGGCCAATAAGTGACTATCATTTATAAAAACACTGAAAAACACAGCAGAAAAGACTTTAAAAAACCAAAAAAAAACCCACACAAAAATACATTACAATGCACGCACAAAACCAGATATATACGCATATACACAAATATACACATACACATATATATGCATATATACACACAAAACACAGACTGGGCCACAGCAAAGTGTGGCAGGGGACGGCAAGTAGTACATATAAAGGTATCATAGACTCTTACTAAACATCCGTTCCTCCTTGCCTATAGTCTTATAGGATCCTCTATATACATTTTTAGTTTAATTTCACATTGAGATGTTGAATCATTGGTTGCTATTAATTAACAAAGTTGTCTAATAGCTCTCCCCTTAATAATAAAGTTATTTTATCCATTATAAGCAAATCTGTAATATATTTTTCCCATTCTTCTAAAGGAGGTATCTCTGGGGTTTTCCAATATCTGGCATCTACTATTTGAGCTGCCACTGTTGTGTAAAACAACATTTTTCCAAATTTCCTTTCTAATTCTTCATCGGGCATGTTCAAAAGATGTTTTAAGGGAGAGTAGATGTTTTTTGGGCAACTGTAATAACCCTTCTGAAACTCTGCTATATATGTTTTTGTGCATTGGCATCTTTGGAGAGCTCCAGTAAAACTGGACTAAAACCAAAGTGCACCGGGATTGTGGCGCAGCTGGCTGAGTGTCAGCTGCATTAAGATCACTCTGACCAAAAAGGTCATGAGTTCGTAGCCAGCCCGGGTTGGAGTGGGTTTCCAACCAATTGTGTGTAGCCTGTTGTCGACCTTTGCAACCCGAAAGACAGTTGCATCTGTCAAGTAGGAAAATTAGGTACCACCTTAAAGTGTGGGGAGGCTAAATTAACTAATTTATGAGGCCATAAAAAGGACTCCAGCAGGGCATTCCAGCGGAAAGCATGCGGGGAATGCGGAGGTGCTTCATCAGTGTCACAGATGGACGATGGAGGCGACAGCTCCCCTGGCGACCAGAAAAAGTTAAATAGCCTCTGTGTATGTCTGTATTGTTTGTATGTCAAAAATTGGCATTGAATGTTTGCCATATATGTGTACACTGTAATCCGCCCCGAGTCCCCTGCATGGTGAGAAGGGCGGAATATAAAAAGCTGCAAATAAATAAAAATAAAATAAACAGGAAGTGATATTTATCACAAAGGAGAAGGTTGACTCCAGAGAGTTTTTAACTCTTCTCAGGAAGATCATTCTTTATAAAAGGTTACGATCTCTAACAAGGTCATGCCTTTCCAAAAGATTCCTGGTTTTCCCAAATGGTTATGAATATCCATTTTCCAAAAGGTTATGGAGATTCCCATTTAGCAAAGCTAAGGAGGCAATGGTATAATAATTACAATCATTATATCTTTCCTTCCTTTCAATTAGATCATGGTGTAACCTGCTGGACGATGCTAAAATGGGGCAATATAGTCCTCCTGCATCCAGCCTGTCCCCACTCCTGTGGTGAGGTCTTTAACATAGATATGCCCTTATAATTTGCTAATATATGCAAAGCAGCATGAAGTTACTTAAGTGCTTTCCCACTTACCTGGTGAGGTAACCACCATCCACAGGAAAGAGCTTATTTTGGAAAGTGTTTTCTTGAATCGAGATCCAGAAGTATACTGGTCGGAGTAAGTGTATCCTATTGGGAACAAAGGAAAGTTCATTAGCAAACAAGACATTCTCTCCCCCACATTGACTCCACAAGTTATTTCTTTTGTGAGTCTTGTTTCCTTGCTGCTCAAAATGAAATACAATGGCCAATGAAAACACAGAGAATAAGCTGAGGGGTTTATGAAACCACCCTAATGTATTTTTCGAAGGCTTTGATGGCCGGAATTACTTGGTTGTTGTGACTTTCCCCAGGCTGTATGGCCATGTTCCAGAAGCATTATCTCCTGACATTTCACCCACATCTATGGCAGGCATTCTCAGCAGTTGTGAGGTTTGTTGGAAACTAGGAAAATGGAGTTTATATATCTGTGGAATGTCCAGGGTGGGTGAAAAAACTCTCATCCATTTAAGGTAGGTGTGGATGTTTCAATTGGCCACTTTGATCAGCATTTAATGGCCTAGCAGTTTCAAGGTCTGGCTTCTTACTGCCTGGGGAAATCCTTTATTGGGAGGCAATTAACTGGTTTCCAACAGACCTCACAACCTCCTAGTTTCCAACAGACCTCACAACCTCTGAGGATGCCTGCCATAGATGCAGGTGAAACATCAGGAAAGAATGCTTCTGGAACATGGCTCACAACAAACCACCCTAACTTTTCCAAGCATGGTTTTCTGTATATCTTACACAGTTGAGGTTTTGGAAGATGTTCCAAACAATTCCTTCCCAGTTAGGACCATGATAGCATTTTTGCTAAATTAATTAACAATTATTTACCAATTTACCCCATAAGCTTTCTGTATTCCTTGGATCTTTCTCTTGCAAAATATGGAGCACCCAATACACTCATTTCCCAGTGGTTTCTCCATACTCAAACTAGAGATCAACTGAATACAGCCTGCTAAGCCAGTGGTTCTCAATCTGTGAGTCCCCAGATGTTTTGGTCTTCTACTCTCAGAAATCCTAATAGCTGGTAAACTGGCTGGGATTTCTGGGAGTGGTAGGCCAAAACATCTGGGGACCCACAGGTTGAGAATCACTGTGCTAAGCTAATCCCTGCTGACTTCCTCACTTTTACTTTTTTTGTGAGCTATGCAATCATCATGGTGAGAATGTTTATTAACATCTCATCAGGATTTGTTGGCCTTCTTCTGTTGGATATGAAGGCCTAAAGGGTCTACAGCAGGCATGGGCAAAGAATCAGTGAAATAGTAAACCTGGTCAGCATTGGAATCCAAATGGCAAAGGAGCTATCCAAGGTGCTGAACCTATTTGTGAGCTAAGGTTCAATGTTTGGAATGGGTCCTAGCAGTATAGAACAGGCATGGGCAAACTTGGGCCCTCCAGGTGTTTTGGACTACAACTTCCACAATTCCTAACAGCCGGTAGGTTGTTAGGAATTGTGGGAGTTGTAGTCCAAAACACCTGGAGGGCCAAACTTTTCCCATGCCGGTTATAGCGGCTCTAAGATTCTGGTTGTTTTCGTCCAAAAGAACATTCTCAAGCACCAAACAGAACTGTGTGCAAACCGAGTCTTAGGGCACATCTATACTCTAGAACTAATGCTATCTCATATTACTTTAACCGCCATGGCTCAATGCTATTGAATCATGGGAGTTGTAGTTCTACAAGGTCTTTAGCTTTCTGTGCCAAAGGGTGCTGGTGCCTTACCAAACTACATCTCCCAAGATTCCAAAGCATTGAGCCATGGCAATTAAATTAGTGTTAAAAAGCATTAATTTTAGAATGTAGATGTATCCCAAGAGTATTTTCTTCCATTCTGCATATGGGCACTGCGATTGAAGGAATATGTTGACAAGCTGAAATGTGTCCAGAGGAGGGCAACTAAAATTATCAAGGGTCTGGAGAACAAGCCCTATGAGGAGCAGCTTAAAGAGCTGGGCATGTTTAACCTGCAGAAGAGAAGGCTGAGAGGAGCCATGACGGCCATGTATCAATATGTGAGGAGGAGTCATAGGGAGGAGGTAGCAGGCTTGTTTTCCGCTGCTCTGGAGTGACTAGGATGCGGAGCAATGGCTTCAAACTACAGGAAAGGAGATTTCTCTGATCATTAGGAAGAACTTCCTAACTGTGAGAGCTGTTCAGCAGTGGAACTCTCTGGCCCAGAGTGTGATGGAGGCTCCTTATTTGAAGGCTTTTAAACAGAGGCTGGATGATCATCTGTCGGGGTGCTTTGAATATGATTTTCCTGCTTCTTGGTAGAGGTTAGGCTAGATGGCCCTTGAGTTCTCTACCAGCTCTATGATTCTTCTGAACAAAGTGCAGCTGCTGTAAGTCTCATCAATGTTGTTCCTGTTTTAGGCAAAGAAGACATCCATACCTGCATAGTCATCCTCAGAAGAATAACCAGAGGATGATGCATAGGTGTCATATATCTTTCTTTCTGATAGCCCATTGATTTTTTTACTGCTTTCGATGCCTCCAACACCGGCTCTTCTTCTTCTCGAGAGATCCTCACCTGATCAGGAAACACAAACTCATTTTAGAAAAGCTGAGAAATTCTCAACAGCGTTTGCATGCATGGATTGATTCAAAACATTTAATGCTCCATCAGATGGCTCTAAAGAAGAATGAGCTCTCTCAATATAGCTCCTATATCGCTAGTTGGCATCACGTCTCTTCTTCCATTCCTTTGGGAGGAAAGGTGGGGCTGTTTGCAGCAATTCCTTGGATCTGAACCAGGACTCAGCCAAAGAACTGTTTCTAAAGACTGAAGGCATGGTTTGCTGGTCCTATAATTATTGTTATAATTATTGTTATTATTACATTTATTATTTTACCCTATTTATTATTATTATTATATTTATTGTTTTACTCTATTATTTCATTTATTACTTTATTCTATTTACTCTATAATTTAAAGGATAAATATTATCTGATTTAGTGTAAAATCTTATCTATAATACAGATGTATCATTTCATTCATGCACTATGGCAGCGTAGCTCTTAAAATTAAGAGGAAAGGGAAAGGGAAATATTGTTTTGATATGTTTTGTTATTTTTTTAAAAAATCACTCAAGATTGGAACCAAAGTATTTAAGTAATGACAGGAATTACTAAAAATAATCTGTGGCAAAATAAATGTTAATTGGATACTGTATATACTCGAGTATAAGCCGAGTTTTTCAGCCCCTTTTTAGGCTGAAAAAGCCCCCCTTGGCTTATGCTTGAATCAAAGTTATTTATTATTTAACTCTGTTATTATTATTATTACATTTATTATTTAACTCTATTTATTATTATTACATTTATTATTTTACTATATTATTATATTTATTATTTTACTCTATTATTATTGTTTCATTTATTACTTCATTTTATTACTATTGTTATTATTACATTTATTATTTTACTCTATTTTATTATTATGTTTATTATTTTAGTCTATTATTATTAATCACATTTCCATTATTTTACTTTCTTTATTATTATTGGAATGATATGTAAGCAAATTTACATTGAAGAAGGTTAGAATAATGGTTTTGTCAGAGTTGGACAATCTTTTTATGTAAATATTAAAAAAAATTAACCTCCTGATTCCTCAATTAATGAAATGTTATTGGTATCTATTTTTATTTTGAAATTTACCAATAGCTGCTGCATTTCCCACCCTCAGCTTACATTCAAGTCAATACGTCATCCATTTTTTGTGGTAAAATTAGGTTATATTTGGGTTGGTTTATACTCAAATATAGGTTAAAAACTATAATAACTACAGCAACAAATACTTTCTTCAGCTGGTGGAGTCCTTAGATTCACTCAAAGAAGCTACACTGAAGTGAAAATTTTTAAAAGCAGAATAGAAGTTGTGTACTCCCTCATTCTCACAATGGGTTTGTGAAAGGCGTTAATGTTTTCTCTTCACTGTTTTTGATACTTTAAATAGAACAGGCAGTTAATGCATTGCATAAAAGGCAACCAAATAGATCAATATCATATCCAAAGTTTCTTATTTGAGCATCATGCCAAGTGTCATGCCTGAACATGATTTTGTGATCTCTTCACTAGAGTTTCAACACATGTCCCTTCCCAAGTCTCTCACTCTACCATCATCCCATTTCTTTGATGCAGTTGAAATATTATAAAATAACAATTACACAAAGCTGTCTGTTTGAGCACCTAAAAACAACATGTAGGATGAATGCACAGCTTAGTTTTATTGATAGATCATTTTTATAATGTCAGCCATCCACATTTGCAGGGGTTAGGAGTGAAGAATTATTTATTTATTTACAACATTTGTAGTCCGCCCTTCTCAAGGGGACTCAGGGCAGATCACAGAACACATACACAGCAAACATTTGTTGTCATTAAACAGATAGGACAGACAATAGGTATATTTGGCATTTTTCCCAACTTTGGCGTCCTGGAGGTTGTTCTTGATTCTGGCCACAGGGAGTGCTGGTTCTCCATCTTCTATGATGAAGAGCCCTTGATCACAGACTTCCTCCTTCCTTTGATTGCTGGCATTTTCTGGTATTTCCTTTTTATGGTGCCATAAAATACCTCCCTGCTTAAATGGTGCCTAATTTCTCTACTCACAGCTGTTTAGGTGGACAGTGAACTGGGCTGAAGGTCGGGTGCTCATCCCGACCCGGGACTTCGAAATGCCAACCTTTCAATTGGTGTGATCTATTGCTGCTGGTGATTAACCAGCTGTGCTAAAGCCCGGCCATGCATGCTTTTGGGAGCAGTGCGATAAATTAACATTGGCAACTTGGACTGGCCCTGGATTATGACCTGGATTATGTGATTTTAAATTGTTGTTCTAATGTTATGTTTTAACTGGTTGGTTTTTAATGTTTTTGTTTATTTATTGATGATATGTGCACACATGCCATCAAATTCTTGCCTAGGTAAGGCTGTCCTGAATCCCTTTCGGGGTTGAGAAGGGCAGGATACAAGTGCGGTAAATAAAATAATTAAAATAAATACAGTACATAAATATGAAACCTTGAATGCAATTGAACACCATTAAATTACTTGACTTCCAATTCAAGCAGACAATTGAATTGTGCTGGAGATAATGTTTTGGGGAAACATTAAAGAATTGTCTGGAGGGCCTAGCAAATTTCTAGAGATCATTCTTACCCAGGCACAGGAAAATGAAGCCACAGAAATGGCTTCCACAGTTACAGGGACCTTGCTGTATTATTCTAACATGATTTCCCACCATGTGGAAAGCAGATATAATACCAAGGCTGTTGCATGAATTACACAGTTAGAAAGCATTTGGGGTGATTTTGCAGAATCTCTAGGAGTTGAGAACCTGCAGTATTCTGGCTGTTGGCCTTTATCTCCAATCAGCCCCTGGTCAGGAACAATGAAAGGTATAGTTCTATACCACCTTGAAAAACCAAGGTTCAAAGGAAGAAATACTCACTCCAGTATGAGTTGTTGTCCATTGGGTCATCCAAAACAGTGCTGCTTCTAATTGAAAGTCCTCTGCCATCATTCAGGTAAGTCTCACTGACCACAGACTCATAAAAGGAGGTGTGCGTCGCAGGACTGTTTCCCAGGCTGGGGGCTGGAGAGGGACGCTTCACACTGCCAGATTTTCTTCTCAGACTCCGGCTGTAGCAGCAGAAACAGGGAAGAATCAACATATTTGTGAGATGACATATGTGGGAGAAGCAGAATATATAAATATGTACAAATATGTGGTGCTACTTGGTAAGAGATCACCGATAAACCTCCAGGACAAAAGGAGGGAGAAGAACAATGTGTGCTATTTAATTTATTTAATCAGATGGAAGGTCATTACAAATGACTGCTTTTGGGGCAGAGGGACATGCCCAGCTTAGTCCGTTGTAACAAAAACAATCAGAGGGCTTGGGGCGCCTGAAAACCTAACAAGTTTTATTTGGTGTAAGCCTCTCATTTATAGCCAATACAACTTCTAAGAAGGAACAAATGGGTCTCTTCTGCTAATATAATAATAATATACTTTATTTATATTCTCCTCTATCTCCCCAAAAGGATTCTGGGTGGATTACAGTACACATTCAATGTCGTTATACAATTAACAAGACCGACAGTACATAAACAGAGGTAAAGGCTTCCCATCTTTTTCCATCTCTGGCATCTGGAGGCTGTGTTTTACTCCGACCACAGGAGGTGCTGTCTCTCCATCTTCCATGTCGAAGAGCTTTGTTGTCTTTAAATGCTCTTCCAATCAAATCACCGGCATGTCCGCATGGGCACCTTCTATTACCTGCCCGTCAAAGCGGCACCTATTTATTGACTCACATTATGGTTTTGAAACTGCTAGGAGAGCAGAAGCTGCGCTGACAGTTGGGACCTCACCCCAACCTGGGCTTGAACTGTCAACCTTTCGATCGGCAAGATTTTCTGCAGCTAGAAGTTTAATCTGTGCTAAAGCATGGCCCAAGGTGTAGGCAATGCTTCAAGAGTGTTGAACTTGAACCAGAAAGACTTAGGTTCAAATTCTTGCTTGGAGAGCAAGCTTATAAAATCATCCCAAGCCAGTCATGGACATTCAGGCTAAACCACTTAACAATGCTGTTGTGACGATACTGTCATAGTATTGAGAAGAAGAGACTGAAAGGGAAAATGGGGTTTGCCTATTTAACAAATAGAGAAGGCTTAGTTAGAATTGTGGCTAGAGTATCTGAGAAGAGAGCAGGTTAGTACTGATAGAAATAAGTGAACCAATCATTTATGTGTGTTACTATTTATTCATTTATTTATTTATAGTGTTTATATTCCGCCCTTCTCACCCAAGAAAGGGACTCGGGACAGATCACAGAGCACATATACAGCAAATATTCAATGCCGATTGGCAAGACAAACAACATATAGAGGTGTATATATAGGCTTTTCCCATCTTTTGGCATCTTTGGAGGCTGTGCTCGGTTCCAGCCACAGGGGGATGCAGTTGCTCCATCTCCTTGCCAAAGAGCTTTCTTTGTTCGTAAACCTTTTCCTCCTTTTTTCCTATTGAAACGCCATGCCTAAAATACCCCCCCCCCCCCGGTTTTAAAGCAGTTCCTATTTATCTACTCACATTGCTGTTCTTGATCCACTAGGTGGGTGGAATGAAAACATAACAGGTTTTTCTTAAACTACTCTTTGGTTGTTAGTTTTGTTTTTACTATTGCCCAAATTGTTCATTCAAAGAGTCTCATCGATCCTAAAATCCTAAAGAATTCACAACAGACTTGGAAATGTTTAGAGTCACCTTTCAGGTTCTAATGTAGGAAACCCAAGGGAGGAATTAGGAGAGGGAATACAGTGAATGACAGAAGCCTAGGAATAAATGCGTACTGAATAATTGAAAATGGACATGCATCAAAAACTCCTTAAAGCAGTGCTGCTGAAAACTGTGGGCTATGCCCAGTCCATGAGTCATCAGCTGCCAGACCGTAATGAGTTTCCAGGAAGGAAAACAAACAGTTGTAACGAATGCATGTAAGCATAACACTGGCCCCTGGTACTCTGGAAAAAATACCACTTTTCTTTTTCCCACATCAATTATTCCTAGGAGCTCTGGTCTGGATGCTTGGGGCAAAAGCACTGGGGATGACCCTCAAAGGCCCTGGGGTGGCATATACACCCTATGTGACCCATGGCTGTTTTTAGAAGTTCAAGAAGGATCTAAAGCAGCGGTTCCCAACCTATTTTTGACCAAGGTCAACTTGACCAGGGACCACTCTCCAACATTAGTACCAAAAGGGTTACAAATCAGTTTGTGGTCAACTTGAGATTCAATTTGGTTATTTGGGGTGCTGATTGAGAAAATTGCATTGGATAGATCACATCAGCTCTAGTTTCTGATAGAGAACATATGCCATCCAGTAGTCTCACAACCTCTGAGGATGCCTGCCATAGATGCAGGCAAAACGTCAGCAGAGAATGCTTCTGAATGTCTGAACATGGTCATATAGCCTGAAAAACCTACAACAACCCAGCTGTAGGTTTTTCAGAATTGTTTTTCATATAGAATTTGGAGAAATGTTGCTGGAAACAACTCTTTTGCTGCAGAGGAGAGATTTGACAGAGTCCTTCTCCTCCTCCCACTGCCCTGAAAATAGGACAAACAGCAATTTTTGCCTGGCTTAGGAGGACAAAAAAAAACAAAGAACGGGTCAGAAAACATGGGCAGAGCGATAGCATCTTTTCCAGCAGATCTTCAGTTAAGTGACGAGGTTGCAGAAAACACAGAATATGCCCTGTTCTCTCTTTCTCCACCTCCATTTCCTGCCTGCTTTGTCTGCAGCAGCTGTGGTTTTCTCGTCTGAGCCGAGCGCTGAGCAGGTGCCCACAGTGGGGCAGGAAGGAAGGAAGACAACTGCAGCGTGACTGTGGCATAGCCTTCCTCAACCCAGAGGTGAGCTATGCTACAAACCACATCATCCCCAAACAGTAGCTGTAGCCATGCTGCCTGGGGATTATCCAAGTTACACTCTGATACATCAAAGAACGGCAGCTTGGGGAACTTTAGAGCAATGCATTTTTATAAAGTCTCAGCCAGTTCTAAGATAACTGGTTTAAAGAAAACTTCTCTATTTCAGCTTCAACCAGTATAGTGTTTCTCAACCTTCCTAATGTAGTGACCCCTTAATACAGTTCCTCATGTTGTGGTGACCCCCAACCATAAAATTATTTTCGTTGCTATTTCATAACTGTAATTTTGCTACTGTTGTGAACCTTAATGTAAATATCTGATATGCAGGATGTATTTTCATTCACTGGACGCAATTTAGCACAAATACCTTGATACGCCCAAATTTGAATACTGGTGGGGTCGCGGGGGGAAGGATTGATTTTGGCATTTGGGAGTTGTAGTTGCTGAGATTTATAGTTCACCTACAATCAAAGAGCATTCTTAACTCCACCAATGATGGAATTGAACCTAGCTTGGCACACAGAACTCCCATGACCAACAGAAAATACTGGAAGGGTTTGGTGGGCACTGACCTTGAATTTTGGAGTTGTAGTTCACCTATGTCCAGAGAGCACTGTAGACTCAAACAATGATGGATATGGGCCTAACTTGGCAGAAATACTCAATATGCCTAAATGTGAACACTGGTGGAGTTTGGGGAAACTAGACCTTGACCTTTGGGAGTTGTAGTTGCTGGGATTTATAGTTCACCTACAATTTAAGAGGATTCTGAACCCCACCAGTGATAGAATTGGACCAAACTTCCTACACAGAACCCCCATGACAAACAGAAAATACTGGAAGTGTTTGGTGGGTACTGACCTTGAATTTTGGAGTTGTAGTTCACCTACTTGCAGAGAGCACTGTAGACTCAAACAATGATGGATATGGGCCTAACTTGGTACAAATACTCAATATGCCTAAATGTGAACACTGGTGGAGTTTGGGGAAACTAGACCTTGACATTTGGGAGTTGTAGTTGCTGGGATTTATAGTTCACCTACAATCAAAGAGCTTTCTGAACCCCAACAGTGATAGAATTGGGTCAAACTTCCTATACAGAACCCCCATGACCAAAAGAAAATACTGTGTTTTCTTATGGTGTTTGGCGACCATCTCGCGATCCCCCAAGGGTCCCGACCCCCAGGTTGAGAAACGAACTAGCACAAGGGAAGAGGGCTCTTTAGTTAGCTTTGCAGGATAGTTACCCGCACTTGTTTCCTCCTATGGAACTGGGGAAATTACTTTTGCAACAACTCCCCTTCCATTCTGCTCCAATTCAAATAATATGTTATATGAGGGTGCGGTCGTCCCACCGCTTGAGATATATGAGAGAGGCCCACAGAAAGAGGGAGGGATATCACATGAGGGAGATCAACTATAATACATAACTAACGGGCAGCAAAGTTTTCCAAAGTAAGCACACACAGTGCCAATCTGAACTGGCACTGCTACAGCTAAACCCATGTGGCTAGCTTTTCTCTCCCTCCCTGAAACACTTCCAGCATTATAGCAATGGGAGCTAAAAAAGGGGAAATATGCCAAGGAAGGATTCCCCGCCTCATAGTTCCCTATACAGAATGGAAGTGAAATTAAGGGGGAATTGGCTGGGGAAAGAGAGGTTAGGTTATCCATCCCCTATTAGAACAGAACAATCCTAATTCAAAGTGGTCCTGGCAACAAGAAAGGCTGAACTGCCTAACACATATTTAGCATCATTCTAAAGTTTGGCTAGGGAGGAGCAAATCTGTTAAATCTCCCCTTCTTTTCCTTCACATTTGAAGTTTGCATATTTTGATACATTCTGATCAAATACAAGTGGAAATTTATTTCTAACATGTTTTTAGTTCTCTTATGCAATGGAAGTTTTAAATGAATAATAGTTGAATTACATGTCACAGCCTTCTAACTTACTGCCCTCCATCCTAATGAAAGGCTAGAGTAGACATGAGCAAACTTTGGCTCTCCAGGTGTTTTGGACTCCAACTCCCATAATTCCTAACAGCCTCAGGCCCTTTCATTTTCCCCCTCAGACACTTAAGCTGGGCTAGAGCTCTGAGCAACATAGCTTTGATAATATTCCAGGTCACATGAAGCAGAATACAATGATTGTTAAAGCAACTACAGGCTGATCATTTGTTCTCCAGAATTCCAAAATCTGAAATACTCCAAAATTATCCAGAAGGATGGCTGAAGCAGTGATACGCCTAATAATAATAATAATAATAATAATCATCATCATCATCATCATCATCATTTATATCCCTCCCTATCTCCCTGTGGAGACCTTTCTTTTTTTGAATAAAATGCAATTTAAATAGTATAAAACCAATAGTTATAAAAACAATAATAGCCATCCTAAAAACACATTAACCAACAGTAAAGGGAAAATTAAAAAATTGAAAACCAGTGATGTTTCGTATTCTGAATTTACTGTTTACATGATGATTAAATTTTTAAATCCACACTGTTTTTTAAAATATTATTGGCCTATGTGGGTGACTTCAGATCTTACATTCAAGCCCCCTGTTGTAGTACAGCCTGAGGCTGATGGGTTCACTGATGATTTAGAGAGGATTGTGGGATTTCCTGGTGCATAATGTGATGAAGATTTAAGTCAGGGACATGATGGTTCTCTCTGGGAGAAACCGGACTCAGAAAGTGCAGGGTTTCAAGGTCAGTCAGAGGACCCGGAAACTGCAACATTAGATAAGGAGTCAGGTGAAGAGCTAAGTGATATGGGAGGCTCGCAGGGAAAAACACCTGGAGCTATGGAGATCAACAAAAGTCTTCATTTACAGATTGGAGCAGAAAATAGGCAGCATCAGTCAGCATGATTACGTGGGAAAGTTGGAGAGAAAATTCATGGGTAAAGAAATGACTTTGTGGGTGCTTATTAATTAGCAAGTTGTTTACTAAAGGATTAGTTCAGGCAACAGAGTGTTCGAGTGAGAAGCTAGGCCTGCGTTTCTTGTTTCAAGTCAAGCCTTTGTTTTGGATTCAAGCATCCTGGAAGTTTTATATGTTTTTGTTTTTGCATTCCTGCTCAAATTTTACTAAGTACACCTTTTGCTTGTGGACTTGTGCTGTAATTGTGATTGTTTGGCTATTCCTGGACTGTGTTACCTTGGGATCTGCATGAGACGTTTGGATTACTGTTTGGTTATCACCTATTGCTAACTCTTTTTTGGATTATGCAACCTCTTTCTTTATTCCTAATTTTTCATATATTTTATGTATTTTTACAATAAAATGTTTGTTTATACTGTGGGCTCTTGTGTGGTGCTGTGGTCATAAGTGTTTCCTGGCCTGCAATGCAATACCCTTTTTAGCAGGGGCTGAGAAATCTTTACAAATATATATCAACAGAAAACCGCGGTTTATAGCAGTGATCCCGTAAATCATCATTTTGCAACCAACAATGACAAATCTGGGTTGTTGTAGGTTCTAGAACATGGCCATATAGCCCCCAAAACCTACAACAACCCAGTGATTTCGGCCATGAAAGCCTTCGACAATACAATGACAAATCACTGGGGTTTTTAATCACAAAGAAATTGAACACTTTGGAGAAACACAGGGGCTCTTCATTGGGTTCCCCCTCCTGTTCCCACGTACCTATTGGAAATGTCTTTAAATAACGACTGTTGTCCACCTAGTAGTGAGCTCCCTCCACTACTGCTGCTGTTGCCGTCGTCTTCATTTTGGTAATAACGAACAGTCCCACCAAGGCGTTGGCTTCGTCGGGACATAATCAAAGAAGATATCAATCCTTTGCCAAGATATCTGCGGAAAAGACAGAGAGGATACAATAAGAACTGCCAACTCCATGATGACTTTGTTGGCTGGAAAGAGACGTGGAATTTGGTCTAAAAGAGGAAAGCCTTCACTAGTTATTTAAGTAATAATAGTACAGGCAATCCCCAAGTTACAAACAAGATAGGTCTGTAGGTTTGTTATTAAATTGAATTTGTATGTAGGTTGGAGCAGGTACTTTTTAAAGTGTAACTCCAGTCAAATACATACATACATACATACATACATACATACATACATACATACATATATATCTTAGCTTTGGATAGCACAGAGAAAACTTCACATCATGTGGTGTTTATTTTGCTGTCTGCTGCTGTTCAGAAGATTTCACTTCCCTTTCTGTCCCTCTGGTCATTGGATTTTGAAAAATTTGGCTTGTTGTGGAAACAAGGAGGATTGGTGATAAAGCTTCAGTGGAGACATATTTTCCCCATGCTAACTCTTCCAGGGGTGAATTTCCCTTCCTAAGGATAGATTTCTCTTACTTCCTGTTGTCTCACCCCCATTCTTAACAATGAGTTGTTTGTAAGTTGGATGTTTGTAACAACCCGGATTCCTGCTCAATCAAGTCAAAGGCATATCTATTCGAACATGTTATGGTCATAACCCAGATGTCTCTGGGAGTCCTAGAGCAGTGGTTTTCAACCTTCCTAATGCCGCGGCCACTTAATACAGTGGTGGTGACCCCCAACCATTAAATTATTTTCGTTGCTACTTCATAATTGCAATTTTGCTACCGTTATGAATCAGAATGTAAATATCTGATATGCAGGATATAGTTTCATTCACTGGACCGAATTTGGCAAATATACCCGATATCAGGCATGTAGCCCGGGGGTGGGGGGGTTCACCCCCCCCCCCCGAAATACTCATGGTGGTCAGTGAGAAGGCCTTACTGGTACATTATTTAAACTGTTATGTTTATTCATATCATGATCTGATTACCATGCTCAATATATCCCATATGCATGGGAGTATTGGGATAATGATACAAAAGGTTTGCTAGGATAGATCCTCAACCCCCCCCCCCAAATCAAACTAATTCCCCCCAAATCAAAATCCCAGTTACGGGCCTGCCTGATATGGCCAAATTTGAATACTGGTGGGATGGGGGTGGGGATTGATTTTACCATTTGGGAGTTGTTGTTGCTGGGATTTATAGTTCACCTACAATGAAAGAGCATTCTGAACTCCACCAATGATGGAATTGAACCAAACGTGGCACACAGAACTCCCATGACCAACAGAAAATACTGAAAAGGTTTGGTGGGCGTTGTCCTTGAGTTTCGGTGTTGTAGTTCACCTACACCCAGAGAGCACTGTGGACTCAAACAATGATGGATCTGGACCAAACTTGGCATGAATACTCAATATGCCCCAATGTGAACATTAATGGAGTTTGGGGAAACTAGACCTTGACATTTGGGAGTTGTAGTTGGTGGGGTGTATAGTTCACCTACAATAAAAGAGAACCTTAAACCCCACCAATGATAGAATTGGGCGAACCCTCCAACACAGAACTCCCATGCCTTGAATGGACTCGCTGGCGTGAGCCTCCCTCCAGCCTTGCATGCTCTCCCTCACTCACACATGTACACCACGCTGCCATGCACCATGCACACCTGCTCTCCCCTTCCCGCTTGAAGGGGATAGCAGGTGTGATTGGTCGGCCTTGGCTGGGAGGCCGACTAATCACAGCAAAGGAGGGCTTTTGGTGGGAGGATTTTCCCTCTGTTTCCAAAAAGAAAGAGGACAGTCTGAGAGATCTCTTCCTTTAAGTCTTCCTTTAAATCTTCCTTTAAGTCATCCTTCTCTGCCAAAGGGGTATCTAAGACTATCAGAAATATATGTTTTCTCCTGGTCTTTGGAGAGCCCTCTGAAACCACCTCGCAACCCCTCAGAGGTCCTGACCCCCCAGATTGAGAAACACTGGTTTAAGGCAAGGTTAGCAATCATGCAGCACTCCAGGCGTTTTTGAACTGTAACTCTCAGGATTCATCCCTCTTGGCAATATTGTCTAGATATGCTGGGATTCAGAGCCCAACAGATATCAAGCAGGCCACATAATTTTCATTGCAGGTTTCATGTAATGACAGCCAAAGTCTCATAACTTTAGAACATTTTTCCCATTCGAGAACTCCTCTTTTAAGTCCTCCTTTAAGCCAGACATGCACTTGTTTAAGCAAGATTTAATTCAGTTGTGGCTATTATAAAAGCTTGGGAATTAGTGTTATGTTTTCTAAATACGATTACTGTTGACAACAACACAATCCTGCAGCATTACTATATCTTGGATTCACTCAACAAGTAAATGAAGCTCAACATTGCTGACCCAGCTAATCAGTAGAGTGAGGTACCTGCCTCAAACAGAAGATTTTATGAAAAGAGAGCTTATCGTTAGCTGCTTATTTTTTATTATTATTATTGTATCTGTACTGCGGAATGTGTAGTTTTCTGCCTCCTGTGCAAAAATACTTCTGAGTATTGCTTACTTTAGGCGAATACGAGAATGGAGATGCCATTTTCTTTTTTGCACCAGGCAGCAAAAAATCTCAGGCTCCCCAAGAGGCTTACAACCATTTAAATTAGCATAAAGCCGCAGGAGAAATAAGCCAACTAATTCCCCATCGGAATTACAGTATGATCCCTTGTGCATGGATTTAATATTACAGTAACTTACCCACACTCCAAATATTCCCCTCTAATGTTGTCTGGGTCTCTCTAGATCTTCTAGGACAATTCTATGGAATGCTTTCAGTCAAAGTATAGGGCTTACTATTATCAAGTTTCAGGTTTCTACAAGATCTTAGATATGGGGAATCATACTGTATTTCTCTTCTCCAAAGTGGTGGAATGAGACTGAAGTGATCCAACACAGAGAAGGTAGTAGATGCAGGTCCCTTGCTCCTAAAGCAGTGGTTACCAACCTTTTTTTTTTATCAGGGACCACTTTGACCATGGATCATTTTGACCAGGGACCACTCTCCAACATTAGAACAAAAAGGGTTTTCCCCTAACATCTGTTAATACTATTATATTATTACATTTATTATTTTACTCTATTATTGGTATTATTACATTTGCATTATTTTACTCTATTATTATTTTATTACATTTATTGTACTCTATTTATTATTATATTTATTATTTTATTTTATTATTATTGTTATTACATTTATTACTTTACTCTATCATTGGCATTATTACATTTGCATTATTTTACTCTATTATTATGTTATTACATTTATTTTACTCTATTTATTTTTATTATTATTACATTTATTATTTTACTTTATTATTGTTATTACATTTATTATTTTACTTTCTTATTATTGGAAAAATATGTAAGCACATTTACACTGAAAAAGGTTAGAATCATGGGTTAATCAAAGTTGGTCAGTCTTATTTTAAATCACAGTTTTATGTAAACATTGAAAAACATCTACCCTACTGTTTCCTCAATTAATGTAATTTTATTGGTATCTATATTTATTTTGTATTACCAGTAGCTGCTGCCTTTCCCACCCTCGACTTATACTCGAGTCAATAAGTTTTCCCATTTTTTGGTGGTAAAATTAGATGCCTCGGTTTATATTCGGGTCGGCTTATACTCGAGTATATACGGTAATCTGAAATCATGGTCTGAAGCCATTCCAATTGTCAATAGATGGAGGCTAAGTAAACAAGGGGACCTAGGGCAGTTTTCCTAGTCTGGCAGGTGGCATTACAGTTAGACTGCCACAACTTTTGCTACACACAAGCACATTTCTTGTGCGTCTCTGTCCGGCTGGCTTTAGCACGTGAGCTCAGTCTCTAACCAGGAGACAGACAAATCGCATACTCCCTACAGAGCATCATGAGTCAAATGCGTCTAAAGCTTGGCAGGCTGGCAAAGCTCTTGGACAAGGCAGCAACATGTGACCCAGCCAAGGCAAGGCCAGTCTGGAGCGAAGGCAACTCATCCCGCCCTAGAGGTACCCACTGTATTTATATATCTCCAGCTGCCTTCAAGGATTGGCTTGCCAAAACAGCCCAAACAGCAGAAACCTGGCCTGCCCGGCCGTGGCATAATCCCCAACCCCTTATATGGCTGTGAAGTCTGTGTTGCGGCTCCAGTCACAACAACAGAGAGAAAAGTCAGGCGGCTGTGCTCTGGCAATCGCTTTTGAAACTTCACGCCTCAATTAATAAACCAGTTGGGTCTCTATCGTGCCACAGCCTGTGTCTCTCCTCCTACCATGTGGCTATACTCCATAGAATATATCCATGATCTTCTTGGGAAAACATATATAGCATTTCTTCCATTCTAAGGTTTGCTGTTTCGTCCATATAAACATCTCTATAAGAATAATAACAATAATGGGTTGCTGTGAGTTTACTGGGCTGTATGGCCATGTGCCAGAAGCATTCTCTCCTGACATTTTGCCCACATTTATGGCAGACATCCTCAGAGCTTGAGGGGTCTGTTGGAAACTAGTGAAGTGAGGTTTTTAATGGCCTTCCTCCAGGCAGCAACCAGCGAGGCTTTGAAGCTGCAAGGCCATTAAATGCTAAATAATAAATAAATGCATATTATTTGAAAACACAGAAATGCTGGACCACTCACACCTACCTCCAGCAGACAAGAGTTCTTTCTCCCACCCTGGGCATTCCAGATATTTGAAAACACAGAAATGCTGGACCATTCTAACAACTTCCAGGTCAGACTACACAGAGAAGCCTTTGAAATCCACAAGCATGTGGAAAATTTCAACAAAAAGGAAGAAAGCATGACAACGAACAAAAGCTGGCTACCAGTATTAAAAAACTCTAAAAATGTAACAGTAAATAAAGAACAACACTCAAAAACAGGGGAAATACAGACAAGAAACAATCAGGGCCAGCTAATCACCTCACAACAAAGGATTTCCCTGGCAGTAAGAAGCCAGACCTTGAAACTGCTAGGCCATTAAAGGCTAATCAGCGTGGCCAATTGAAACAGTCACACTTACCTCGAACAGACAAGAGTTCTTTCTCCCACCCTGGACATTCCACAGATATATAAACCCCAATTTCCTAGTTTTAACAGCCCTCACAACCTGTGAGGATGCCTGCCACAGATGCAGGCGAAACGTCAGGAGAGAATGCTTCTGGAACATGGCCATGTAGCCCGGAAAACTCACAGCAACCAAGTGATTCTGGCCATTAAAGCCTTTGACAACACAATAACAATAATAATAACACTTTATGTGTAGTCTGCCCTATCTCTCCAAGGGGACTCTAAAAATGGGGAACATCTTGCAACCTTGGGTGCTTTTGTGTGTGTGTGTATTCTGTTGGTGGTACTGAAATGAGTGTCCATCTTACAATTGATGGTGTCTTAGAAAAAAATATATAGTACTAGACTCTAGAGTGGTCGTAACTCTATGCAAGGCTGCATCCACACTGCAGGATTAATGTAGTTCTGTACTGTTTATTTTACTTGATTGGTTTATTTGTTTTATTGTGATGCTATTTTGTTGTTTATATTTTATGTTGCTGTAATGTATCACTGGGCTTGGCCTCATGTAAGCCGCTCCTAATCCCCTTTAGGGAGATGGTGGCAGGGTATAAATAAAGATTACTATTATTATTATTATTATTATTATTATTATTATTATTATTATTATTATTTACAGTTCAGTACCACTATAACTGCCATGGCTCAATGCTATGAAATGGTGGGAGCTGTAGTCGTGTCTAGGCTTCTCTGCCAAAGTGTTAATGCCTCACTAAACTACAAATCCCATGGTCCCATGGCAATTAAAGTAGTGTCAAACTGCATTAATTTGACAATGCAGATGCACACCGAGGGCAGTGAGGATCCCATACTTTGCTGCCAAATCTCCCTCCCTTTCCACGTCTTTGGGGAATCCCATCCCTGACTTGGACATCTTGCAAACATGTCCCGTTCCCATAATTTGACACCAGTCCACAAGAGACTCCTCCTCCTCTTCTCTTTCCAAAACCTGCAGCAAGCCGAGGAATTAACAGCAAATCCCCAAGTACAAAGGCATCTGTTCAGTGCTGTTAGAAAACCACTTTAATCCCGGGGGGAACTTGCTCGAAATCAAGATTGCTACTCCAGGGATCTGTGTTGGCCTCCTTTTGGAACAGAAGGAGAGAAAGAAGGAGCGCGATTCAAAGGAGACCTCTGTTTAGTTACTTCCTGCGCATCTTTCAAAGCCCTTCTCACTTCCCTTCTTTCTTCCCTTCCTTCCGCCAGAGCCCTTCAAAGTGCAGAAAATCCAAAAAATAATAATAAAGAAGCTGTGCTTAGGTTTTCATACAGGCAAAGCCCACTCTGAGGCTCATTTCCAAGCCCTCTGTGAAGAAGGCACAGTTGGTTCAAAGCATAAAAGGTCAGAAGGAGGGCGGCGACAGGAATGTGCTGTGCATGAATCAAGGCATTTCCAGTTTGAATTGTGACATGTGCTCCAGAGGCTGTTTTCAAACAGACCTTTCAAACAAAACTCTAAAATCAGGAGGGCAATTAAAGAACAACACTCAGAGAACAGGGGAATTCCAGACATTAATCACTTAGGACCAGCTAACACCTCCCAACAAAGGATTCCCCCAGGCTTTGAAGCTACAAGATCATTCAATGCTAATCAAGTTGGCCAATTGCAACATTCAAACTTGCCGCAAGCAGACAAGCGTTCTTTCTCCCACTCTGGACCTTCCACAGATATATAAACCCCACTTGACTAGTTTCCAACAGACCTCACAACCTCTGAGGAAGCCTGCCATAGATGCGGGCAAAACATCAGGAAAAAATGCTTCTGGAACATGGCCACACAACCCGGAAAACTCACAGCAACCCAGTGATTGCGGCCATGGAAGCCTTAGACAATACATCAATCAGGGTCAGCTAACACCTCCCAACAAGGGATTCCCCCAAGCAGGAAGCAGCCAGACTTTGAAGCTGCAAGGCCATTAAATGCTAATCAAGGTGGCCAATTGCAACATTCACACTTCAAAGCAGACAAGAGTTCTTTCTCCCCACCCTGGATCTTCCACAGATATATAAACCCCACTTGACTAGTTTCCAACACTTGTCTCTCAACCTCTGAGGATGCCTGCCATAGATGTGGGCGAAACGTCAGGAGAGAATGCTTCTGGAACATGGCCAAACAGCCTGGCAAACTAACAGCAACCCAGACCTTTCTTTCAGCCTGCCTTAAAGAGGTGCATCTACACTGGCTTGTTGTGAGTTTTCTGGGCTGTATGGCCATGTTCCAGAAGCATTCTCTCCTGACCTTTTGCTTGCATCTATGGCAGGGGTTTGACCTCAGAGGTTGAGGTCAAACCCGGAAAACCCATAACAACCCACTGATTTCAGCCATGAAAGCCTTTGACAATAAATTGCACCTATACTGTTTGGATAATGCAGTCTGACACTGCTTTAATTGCCATGGGATTGTGGGAGCTGTAGTTTCCAAGGTCTTTAGCCTTCTCTACCAAAGTGTAGAGAAGGCTAAAGGACTCCATATCAGGAGCCCAGGACTCAAGTTAAAGTGGTGCCAAACTGCATTAATTCCACAGTGTAGATCAGACATGGGCAAACTTGGGCCCTCCAGGTGTTTTGGACTTCAACTCCCACCATTCCTAACAGCCTCCAGCCCCTTCCTTTCTGGGAGTTGAAGTCCAAAACACCTGGAGGGCCTAAGTTTGCACATGTCTTGTTTAGAGAGTAGTCATACCTTAACTACTCCCCAAATGGGCATCTTCTAAGGAAGGGGTCTGAGGCTGTTTATGAATTGTGGGAGTTGAAGTCCAAAACACCTGGAGGGCCCAAGTTGGCCCATGCCTGGTGTAGATACACACTATGTCTCTCACAACCCTTCTTTTCTCCATCTTCCTCACCCCTCTTTGGGATCATCTGCACTGCAGCACTAATGCAGTTTGACACCACTTTAGTGGCTCAATGCTATGGAAACATGGGAGTTGTAGTTTGCCCTTCCTTTTGTCCAGCCTCTTTTCTCCATCTTCCTCGCTCCTCTTTAGGAGCATCTGCACCGTAGAATTAATGCAGTTTGACACCACTTTAGTGTCTCAATGCTATGGAATCATGGGAGTTGTAGTTTGCCCTTCCATTTGTCCAGCCTCTTTTCTCCATCTTCCTCGCTCCTCTTTAGGAGCATCTGCACCGTAGAATTAATGCAGTTTGACACCACTTTAGTGTCTCAATGCTATGGAATCATGAGAGTTGTAGTTTGCTCTTCCCTTTGTCCAGCCTCTTTTCTCCATCTTCCTCACTCCTCTTTAGGAGCATCTGCACTGTAGAATTAGCATATAGTTCGCGTTTGCTGTGACATACTGTGCTTTTGTGTCAGTAAAATAATAATAATAATCTTTATTTATACCCCGCCACCATCTCCCCAAAGGGGACTCGGGGCGGCTAACATGAGGCCAAGCCCAAAATTACAATACAACACAATAAAATACAGAAACAAAATAAAATCAGAAGATAATTGCAACAGCAAAGTAAAATAATAAAGCAAATCCACACAAAATAAAAATAAAATCAAACAGGATGGGCAGGCCAAATGGACAAGAAGAAATAATAAAATAATAATTAAATAATGCAGTGTGGCACCACTTTAGTGACAGTGGCTCAATGGTATGGAATAATGGGAATTGTAGTTTGCCCTTCCTTTAGCACAGCCACTTTTCTCCATCTTCCTCACTCCTCTTTGGGAGCATCTGCATGGTAGAATTAATGCAGTTTGACACCACTTTAATAGCTGTGGCTCAAATGCTATGGAGTCATGGGAGTTGCAGTTTGCTGAGGCACAAACTCAGCATTCTCTGGGGTCAGAGAAGGCTAAAGAAACTACCAACCCCATAACATTGTGCCATAGGGGTTAAAGCGGTATCAAACTGGATTAATTCCACAGTGTAGATGCACCCCTCCTTGGCTGCTTGAGGAAACTCCCTCCCATGTGCCATGACAACAAAAGCAGCGTGAGTGAAGAAAAGGAGGCAAAAAGAGAGGCACAACAATCCTGGATATCTAGAAATGACAACAATAACAATAACAAAACAATAACAAAACAATAATAATAATCAGCAACTCCTTGACCAAAGAGAGCAATGAATAAGTGGATGATAGAGAGAAAATGGGTAAAAGGTAACTTAAGTCCTTTCCATGTAAAGAGAAGGAGTGTTGTTGGGGATGATGGGAGTTGTAGTCCAAAGCATCCTATAAAAAAGCATTTGTCTGGGGAAATAATGTATTGGGTGGGGGAAAAAACATGTTCAGACAACACAAAGCAGAAGAGAAAGGGAAATAAAAGGAACCAAGCCCCCCAATTCCTCCTTTTCTTTGTTTCTTTTCCCTGCAAAGCGCGCACAAACTTTTAATCACCCAACAATAATCCCAATAATAATAATAATAAAGGAGGGGGAGGGAGTCAAGAGAAAGAATAGCCTTACCAAAATAATAATGATAATGATATGCAGGTAGGTCCTTTCTTTCTTTCCAAACAGCAGATCAGTTGGATGATGCGGACAAAGCTCGTGGTCCTCCTAATTGAGTCAATTAATTAATCCGCCAAAGCTGCTCCTGCTCCTCCTGCTGCTGCTGCTGCTGCTGCCGCTTTAAGTCCTCCAAAGGCACAAATGGCCTTGGCGCCTGTCAATCCCCACCAACAGGGGCCGCGCCTGACCCACGCTGTCAATCACCACCAAAGCGCCGCGCCGATTGGCCGGTTCGAACAAAAAAAATATGACAGGCGCCGCCCCGCCTCTTCGCCTGTTCTTTTCCAGCGTTGCGTAAGAAGCGGAGGGTTCAGTTGCGGCAGGGCTTGGCCCCGCCCATTGTCCCGCCCACCTGGTCGGCCTTGAAGTTTGATTCTTCATAAAGGGAGAAGGGAACAGCGCCCCCACCCTTCGCTCAGGCGAGTATGGGAACTGCACCTTGCTAGAATTTTTTGTTTTGTTTTGTTATTGTTCTATGAAAGGGGTGTAGAGTAAAAGCCAGCAGTGGAATCTGCATGTGTCGGCCTTTAAAAGTACCAGACCCTGCAGGAGGAAATGGTCCTATTCCTACTGAAACCTAAATACTCTAAAATAGGCACAGTTCCCATCTGATCTTGGATGCTAAGCAGTGTCAGCCCTGGCTGGTTTTTGGATGGGGCCCCAAGTGGCATTTATTTATTTATTTATTTATTTATTTATTTATATTTCACTTTATCTCTCCTTACAGAGACTCAAAGCAGCTCACAATAAAAAATATACAATAATAAAGCAGTATGTCATAATACATTATATAGGATCAGTAGTACCATCTTCTATATAAATAAAAATGTAATGTTCGTTTGTGGGATTAATCTTATTATTAATTTGCAATCAGCTTCTGTTTTAGATTATATAGACAGTCATTCATCCGATAGCGAATGGTGATACTTGTTTTTATTAATTATAAGCCAAATGTGATGTTATTAATTGTTAATTGTTGTATTTCATCGTTCTACTTTCACTTGACTCAGCCGATGGTTTGTTGACCGAAATAAAGGCTACTGACTGACTGACTGTTTGTGGGATTAACATACAGTATATTCTGGCGTATAAGACTACTTTTAAACCCAAGAAAATCTTCTCAAAAGTCAGAGGTCATCTTATACGCGAGTGTAGTCTTATGCATGGGAGTGGTCTTAACTCTATATTTTAACTGGAAAAGTTGGGGGTCGTCTTATACACCCAGTCGTCTTATATGCCGGAATATACGTAACTCAAAAAACACTGGACAAATTGACACCAAATTTGGACACAATACACCTATCAGGCCAATGAGTGACCATCACTCATAAAAACACTGAAAAACACAGCAGAAGAGACTTAAAAAGCCAAAAAACAAAAATTACATTACAACGCATGCACAAAACCACACACATGCACACACACATATACACACACACATACACAGACTGGGTCACAGCAACGCGTGGCAAGGGACAGCTAGTATTTAATATATTAATATCCTTATATTACAGCATTACTATATATTACTATATTGTTGCTATGGCCCAGTCTGTGTATATGTGTTTGCATATGTGTGTGTGTGTCCCAATGCCCAGGTTGAGAAATGCTGCTCCAGGTGTTTTAGACTTCAATTCCCACAATTTCTAACAGCTTCGGGCCCTTTCCTTAAGAAGCTGGGGGGGGGGGGGGAAGGGGCCCGAGGCAGTCAGAAATTGTGGGAGCTGAAGTCCAAAACACTGAAGTTTGCCCATACCTGGGGTAGATGCATAGTTCAAACCACTGCAGTTTTAGAATCCCAAATTATGACCAATAGTCTCCACTAGGTTAGATTGATTTATATAGTGCATTAAAACAACCCAGTGATGTTTCCATACAGAGAGAGTGCTCCTAAGCACATGCTGGGGAGTTAACACCGTCTAAGAATAACAAGAGTTTTTAAAAGCTCTTCTGTCCCCAGCTACACTTTTCTGTTGACATGAAAGGATGGAGAAAAACATCCTGCTCCATCTAGTGGAACTGGGAGAGAATTCATGTGCTCTGCCTTCAAAAACTGAGACGCTTCAGGTGTTAAAATGGTGCTGGTTCATTAGGATAAAATTCTCCATAGAAATGTATGCGATTTCATGTAATTTTAAAATTTACTTTGGGAGGCAGTGGGTTAGAAGTAAAGGGCATTGAGAAATTGCTGATGTTATGGAATGGTTTGATTATGGTGTGTCACTCAAGGGCGGCAAAAAGGAAGACTTCTATCATCAAAAAAGAGGGAAAGAGAATCCTAATTTGTATAAAATATATAGAATACATAAATAATACAGTTAATTTCACCACATTGGGGAAGAATGGCTAGATGAACCAGATTACTCCAATTACACTATGTAACACGATTTTTGTTCCGGTGTTATGTCATTTCCTAATTGGTTCTGTCTTAAAAACATGGGAAAAGTTTATTAAACTGCAAAAACATTGTTTTTGCGAGACTTCCTGCAGCACATTTTGCTATAGTTTTTCAATAACTATCTCATAGAGTCTCAACAGAGTTTGTGGCATCCYCAAAAACAACGTTTCTGGAATATAACAAGAATATAACAAGTACTTTCAAAGTAAGGACCCCACAATCAAACAGGAAACAACTCTTTCAAACCAGGAACAGATCCCCCCCCCCCCAAATGTTGTTACATAGTGTTATCTAATTTCTGCTTTTAGTCCTTCCTTCTGCACTTTCTCATGTTCTCTCCTATTCACTTATTTTCTTCTCAATTGACTTTTTCCAATTCACCTTTGGCTTCTTTGGCTTCTTCTTCTTTAACTCGCGGTTAGCACAGTGGGTTAAACCACCAGCTACAGTAAATCTTGCTGACTGGAAGGTTGGCGGTACAAGCCACGGGCTGGGGTGAGCTCCCGCTGTCAGCCCTAGCTTCTGCTTACCTAGCAGTCTGAAAACAGTAAAGTGAATAGATAAATAGGTACTGCTGTGGCGGAGAGGTGAAAAGTGCTCCTGAAGACATGCTCGCAATTCGATCAGGAAGGTGTCCATGGACAACAGGCTCTGCGGTGAGTCAAAATGGAACAACAGCACCTCCCCATGGCCGAGTCGAGCACAGCCTCCAGATGCCGGAAATGAAAAAGAGGGAAGCTTGCCTCTATGTATTGTCTATCTTTGTGAATTGTGTAACAGCATTTAATGTTTGCCATATATATATATATATCTGTTCTGAGTCCCCTCTGGGAGATAGAGCAAAATATAAAGAAGTAAATTATTATTATTTGAAACACAACAAGATGAGTCTACTGCAGACACTCTGCTGGCTGTTGTATTGGATCACATGTCGGACACTTCCCAAGTGTCTAGGACTGTGTGATGTATCAGCGAATAATGAGTGCAGTTCCCAGTAAGGTGGCCTGCAGCTGGCAGATGGTAATTTTGTCAGTGCTGATTGTGTTTAAGTGCAGGCCAAGGTATTTAAGCACTGCACCCAGTGTGCCAATCACCACTGGGACCACCTTGACTGGCTTGTGCCAGAGTCTATTGTTGTTGTTGTTGTTAGTAGTAGTAGTAGTAGTAGTCCTCCTTCTTGATCTTTTACCAAGCAGCAGGAACTTCTCTCTCATGCAAACCAAATTCTCAAAGAGTTTGAAGGTTTTACCACATGAGCTGGCAAGTTGTTTCTCTATTGTACATGTGGCCTGCCTGGACTTGTTTTGAGAAATGAATATATCAGGTCTGACTGCAGCTTCCTCACTGCTGGTTAGGGAAAGTGACGAGATAGTGACTAAAAGGGTGTTACAGGCTATAGACAGATTTGATTTAAGCAAACACAATGTCGGCAGGCTTCTGGTGTTTATGTTATGTGTATTTAGGTACAAGATAAAGAAACCTATGGCATTGAACTATGTCTGCATCAGCTGTCCATGCTCAAGAACTCATAGACTCGAAAGAGACCTAAAGGGCATCCAGTCCAACCCACTGCCATGCAGAAACACACAATCAAAGCATTCTTGACCAATGGCCTTCCAGCCTCTGTTTAACTTGGCTCCTGAGCCTAGTCAGTTCTGTGTTCCAGAGTCAAGGCAGGCCTGGGCTAATGCTTAAGTTCTGGACCATATAATGTATAAACCTAGGGGCCATGGTGGCACAGCGGGTTACACTGCTAAGCTGTAAACTTGCTGACTGGAAGGTTTGCGGTTTGAATTCACGGGACAGGAGAGCTCCTGTTGTTATCCCCGGCTTCTGTCAATGTAGCAATTTCAAAACATGCAAATGTGAGTAGATCAATAGGTACTGCTTTGGTGGGACTGCCGCTCCATGTAGTCATGCTGGCCACATGACCTTGGAGGTGTCTACAGACAATGCCGGCTCTTCGGCTTAGAAATGGAGATGAGCAACACCCCCCAGAGTTGGACATGACTAGACTTAATGTCAAGGGAAACCTTTACCTTAATATATAAACCAAGTATATGCGTATATCTAATTCTGCTTATATTTTATATGTACACAAAATCAGTCGCCTTTTACAGGCTAGAGATCAAACATGCTGCTCTGTGAAACTGCTGAAATGGAAGGTCTGCATAAACCCCGAAGCATATTTAGTAAGCACAATGCAATCTTTTGAGAAAAATTCAGATTACAGATTGAATATGCAACAGCAGACTGGTTCATTGCTTCCCATAATGTTGCCAAGGCTACTTTCACTCATTAGAGAGCTTCAGTCTTTATTTGGATGAAACAATGTGAGAAACAGCAGATAAATTGGCAGGGATCAGTATTCAAAATTGTAACACTAGCTCTCTGACATATGTACTAAACAATACACTCTTGGTTACTTACGCTACTAGTCCAGACTATATCAAAATCTTTGGAATTAATGGCGTCACAATGAGTTAAACCCTTGTGCCAGCAGGACTGCAGATCAAAAGGTCGGCAGTTCGAATCTGGGGAACGGGGTGAGCTCCTGTCTGTCAGCTCCAGCTTTTCATGTGGGGACATGAGAGAAACCTCCCTACAGAATGGTAAAACATCTGGGTGTTCCCTGGGCAACGTCCTTGCAGACAGCCAATTCTCTCACACCAGAAGTGACTTGCAGTTTCGCAAGTCTTTCCTGACACACACACAAAATCTAAATCTTTCATAATTCACTCCTTTTAAAAAGTTATATTTTACCTTTCTCCCATAAAAGTAAAAGTGTTGTCCATGAGGCTCCCCAGGTGGTTTCCTGTACTGGCAATGATGCAGTTTTAATCCACATTAAGAACTATTTGTCTACACTCGAAGGCACATAAATTAATTGATGGGAAAATAACTCAGAAATCCGACTTTCGTGGACTGTAACTAGTAGAATACCCTCACTAGCATGATTGATTGTCATGCTGGCTAATGCATTCTAATAGATTGATTGTCATGCTGGCTAATGCATTCTAATAGATTGATTGTCATGCTGGCTAATGCAGCCCCCAAAAAGGAACTTTTCCATCTCTGTTAATGGGCAGTCACATGCAGGGCCATTTTAGGTGGTAACAGGATACACAGATATTCCATTGAATGTACACACCTGCATACCGATAATGGAAACGTCATGTGTACAATTTTCATATATAATGCTCTTCATGGTTTAACCCTTGTGCTGACAGGACTGAAGTCCAACACGTCGGACGTTCGAATCCAAGGACAGCGTGGATGAGCTCCCTCTGTCAGCTCTAGCTCCTCATGCAGGGACATGAGAGAAGCCTCCCACAAGGATGGTAAAAACATCCAGGCGTCCCCTGAGCAATGTCTTTGCAGACTGCCAATTCTCTCACACCAAAAGCGACTTGCAGTTTCTCAAGTTGTTCCTGACACGGGAAAAAAAATCAGAAATGGGAAACTGTAGTCTTCCTAATATTAACAACTACTATTCCCATCATTCCCTGATAATGGACATTTGACAGGAGATGATGGCAACAAGGTTCAACAATTGAGGAGGGGTAGGAACATGTTCCTTTGTCCTGGGCTGTATCTTATACATCTCTTGTTAATTACTATTGGAAACAAAATGCCAAACAATGGAACGAAGTGACAGGATGAGAGGCTCAGTTGTAGAGTATGTGCATGGTACACTTTATGGTTCTGCAGGTAAACAATAGTTGGTCGGTTTATATCAGTGAGCTGCTACTACTTGAAGTAGCCAGTACTGAGCAAGCTGCATAAAAATTCCCTTTCCTGGTAGAAGGCAACTTCCAAAAATGGGCAAAAATTATAGTCCTATCAAGAATCTAAGGGACTAAGATACTACACAATAAATAGAAAGAGGAATGAATACAGAAGAGTCTTGACTAAGTAGATGCTTCATAGAAGGAAGGGCATGTGAGGTCCTTTGGAAGTCACCAAGGGATATTTCCAAATATCTGAAAGTAATGTTTCCTAAGTTAACCCTCAAACTCAGGCATGGGCAAACTTGGGTCCTTCAGGTGTTTTGGACTTCAACTCCCATAATTCCTAACAGCCTCAGGCCCCTTCCTTTTCCCCCTCAGCTTAGCCACAATGCTATCCCTCCATTCATAGCTAAATCTTGCCCATCACGCACCCAAGACTCACTCCAGTTAAAGCCTCTGTGCAACCCAGGAGCTTAAATAATACATTCAGTCCAAGATTTGCTTCTGTATTTCCATTGGTTACTTTTATGATATTTCCATCATTGATTCTGCACACAAAGCAGAACCCTCCTACCCATCCCAAATTATGATAAGCTTGCTTAATATAGGGTGGCTCCCGAACCCCCTTTGGTTCACACAGCTCCGATCAGTATCTTGTGTAATAGAGGGGCTATTGAAGTTTGAGGCTTCAAAGGGATGTATGCCAAGGCCTCTTCATTCTGCTTCAGCTCCCAATTCTTGGCACTTGGAGGTCTTTTAGATCATTGATCACTACTGTTTCTTCGTGTCTTCCTTTTTCCATACAGCCCCGCACCATGGCTAGTACTTTCTGGAGGCGCCGGTCCAGTGCCTCCAAGTGAGGTTCTGACAAAACTGGAGTCAAGCGATCCAGGGCTAACGATTCACGCATAACGTCGCTCAGTCGATACGGCTCTGTAGCAAGCAGTTGCAGTCGCAGGAAAGTTGATTTTTTAATACTGAAAGAAGTCACAAAAACTAATCAAGAGGGGGAAAATTAATAGAATCATCGCAGTATAGTTACTGGGGAGACCATAGACCTGAGAAGAATCTTGATAGTGGTGAGAGTGGCAGAAGAAGAATGCTTACAAACAACAACAACAACAATTTATTTATATTCCGCCCTTCTCCCTGAGGGGACTCAGAGTGGATTACAGCATATAAACAAAGATAGGAAAACATTCACTGTCTTCTTACAATGAAATACAATGCAACACAAAGACACAGACAAAGGCAAAGGCTTCCCCTTTCATTTCCGGCTCTAGAGGCAGTGCTCATCAAAGAAACATACTTTCTTTTTGTTGTCGAAAGCTTTCATGGTTAGAATCACTGGATTGCTGTGAGTTTTTCGGGCAGTAGGGCCATATTCCAGAAGCATTATCGCCTGACATTTCACCCACAACTATGGCAGGCATCTCAGAGGTTGAGGCGTCTGCTGGAAACTAGGCAAGTGGGCATCTGTGGAATGTCCAGGGTGGGAGAAAGGACTCTTGTCTGCTGGAGGCAAGTGTGAATGTTGCAACTGGCAACCTTGATTAGCATTGAATGGCCTTGCACTTCAAAGCCTGGCTACTTCCTGACTGGGGGAATTTATTTATTTATTTATTTACTTTACTTGTATACCGCAGTTTCTCAGCCCAACAGGCGACTAATCGCGGTTTACAATCAATCAACGATATACAATTTAAAACCATAAAAGCATAATATACAATATTGACACAACAATAGACAACACAATGCATCTCATAACTAGAGTCGTGATCCAATCCGTCGTCCAAATTTCCATTCCTGTAATCATCACATTCATTGCACTGTTTAACCGAATGCCTGTTCAAACATCCAAGTTTTTAATCAATTGTTGGGAAGATTCTAAAATCTCTAAAAACAAATTCTAAAAACCTCTAAAATTAAAACAGTAAAAAAAGAAGAACACTGAAAAAACATGAGAATTCCAGACAGGATACAATCAGGGCCAGCTAACATCTCCCAACAAAGGATTCCCCAGGGCAGGAAGCAGCCAGGCTTAGAAGCTGCAAAGCCATTAAATGATAATCAAGGTGGCCATTTGCAACATTCACACTTGCCTCCAGCAGACAAGAGTTCTTTCTCGCACACTGGACCTTCCACAGATATATAAACCCCACTTGCCTAGTTTCCAACAGAGATCACAACCTCTGAAGATGCCTGCCATAGATGCATGCGAAATGTCAGGAGATAATGCTTCTGGAACATGGCCATACATCCCGGAAAACTCACAGTAACCCAATACTTTTTTTCACCTTTACTACTAAACTTTGGGGAAATGCATATTCTATTGTTGTGACTGTTCTAGTCATATGATGCCCTGCATAGAAAGAATCCTTATTTTAACCACAATTCATACATTTCCCTAGAACTGTGGTGGGGAGGGTGATGGTGGCAGAAGCTGGGCAGTTTTTCCTCTATATTCAGAGCATGGGCATTTCAATTGGCTTCTGGTAGGAATGAGCCTGCATGCTCAATTGCACTTTATTTCAGAGTGTCAGCAAGAACACTGGGCTGCACGCTTCAGATAGTAGGAAGAAAGCCAGTTCGTGGCACTTTAGGGCTGGAAGGGAGCAACGGGTCACTCAGTCTAGCAGCCTGCCTAATGTCTAATCCCACCCTAATGTCTACAATAGAGCCATGTCAAGTGTTTTGCTTAGACAATAGCTCCCAGAATCTCCCAGCAAACGTGACCCTTGGCCATACTGATTAGGGGATTGTGAGATTTGTAGTCCCAAAAAGTAACTTTGCCAGATTCTGCCTTAATGTAGAAAAATCCCGCTTTAGAAGACAAACAAAGGTGTACGAGGTGCAACATTTTCAGTCTGTATGATACTGGGCAAGATTTTTCCTGATATGCCCCCCTCCATATATGCTGGACTACAACACCCATCACCCCCACAACCTCACAACCTCTGAGGATGCCTGCCATAGATGTGGGTGAAACATCAGGAGAGAATGCTTCTGGAATATGGCCATACAGCCCGGAAAACTCAAAGCAACTCACTGATTCCAGCCATGAAAGCTTTTGACAACACAGAGTACGATTTGTTCAAAGTCACCTAGTAGATTTACCTGGCCTAATAGGGATTTCCAATCCTGGTCCAATGCTTGAACCAGTGCACTCACATAATTATTGTGAGTGCAGTGGAGTTGTCATATGAGAAATCTGACCTTGAGCAGGTTTTCTGAGTCCAACACTGCTAAAGCTTTTAAAATTGCATTCTGTCTGTTCTTCCTGCCCACACAGAAACCATGAAAGAGCAAGGATAAAGCTGGAGAAATGAAAAAAGTCCTTACATGCAGCACTGCCGGAGAGGAGTCAGGATGGACATTTCATCATGAGAGTGTCTTCCAAACCTAAGGAAGGAAGGAAGGAAGTCAGACATGTCATCTAACTGGGGGTATGTTTGCTAATATATCACTGAGGCGAATGTCTCCCAGCTGCATCTTTGCTCCCACTTTCCTCCTGTGCTGCTCCCCTCCATAGTCATTTAGGCTCCTTCTACACAGCTGAATAAAATCCAGAGCTGGATTATCTGGCAGTGTAGATTCAGATAATCCAGTTCAAAGCAGATAATGTGGATTATATGGCAGTGTAGAAGGGCCCTTAGAGGTTGGTGGAAAGTGAGAGCCATTACAGAATCATCTGGCTACATCTCTATAGATCACTTGCCATTTTGAGAAGGGTTGCAGAGGAAAATGGTAGTTTGGAGCGATGTGGAGTTTTGGGTTGCCTTTGAAGCCTTTGGACTTCTTTTTGTATAACCTAGGGGTAGATATTGCCCTGAAATCTAACTAAATTGTTGAAACATATTTGGGAGAGGAGGCTTCAGGGACTGGTGGGGTGTTGCAGCAACCACAAAAGTGGGACTTGAGGCCTGCATGTTGCCCACCATCTGCTCTTTGCCCATCCTTGCCACGGTCAGATGCACCAAGCCAGAGCATTCTTGGTGTCTCCAGAAGGCCCCTCTGAGATCCCAGAGGGTGCCTTTATTCTTCTGTGTTTAACTATTGCAGTGGTTCCCAACTTTTTTTTTTTTACAAGGGACCACTTGATCAGGAACCACTCTCCAACATGAATACCAAAATGGTTACTAACCTGTTTTTGGTCAACTTTAGATTTAGTTTGGTTATTTGGGGTGCGGATTCAGAAAATTGCATTGGATAGACCACATCAGCTCTAGTTTCTGATACAGAACATATGCTATCCAGTAGTCACCATCTGCTCACCCACAGAAAACCATATTTAATAAGCAATGGTGTAGTAACGGTGAGGTCACGGACTATATTTTAGTTTTTGCAGACCACTGGTGTTCTACGGACCACATATTGGGAAGCACTGAACCTTCGGGACAAGAAAGATGTCCCTTCACTCATTACTGGCCATTATTTGGCTGCCTTGGCTAGATCAACACTGCTATGTAAACCATTTTGAAACTGTTTTATATGATTAGTATAGATCTATATAATGCAGTCTAGCTGCATTATATGAATCTGCACTGATTATGTAATGTGGATTCAAACTTCATTATGTAGCAGTGGAGTTGGAGTCCCCACAGGAAGAAAGTGACTTTTGAGGGAGTGTGTCTATTGTGCAAAGGAAATGACAAATTGCTCTCACTCAGCATTGATCCTGAAAATACATATCCAGGCATAAATTAGACTCACACCTGTATATGTAACTAACACATGCATCCAGAATTATATATAGTCCAGGATCTGTTTTGGAAACTTAAAAGTCTGAATATTGTGACTGGAATAATTATGTGAATTACGCGTGTTTGCATATTTTCTCTCTATTTATCCTATTGCACAATTGGTTTTTCTAGCAGAAATTAAATCTTTTGACAGATATTAGTGTGGAGGTAGAAAAAGGTATGAAACACAGGGTTGTTGTAGGGTTTTTTGGGCTATATGGCCATGTTCTAGAGGCATTTTCTCCTGACGTTTCGCCTGCATCTATGGCAAGCATCCTCAGAGGGAGTGAGGTGACCTCACTACCTCTGAGGATGCTTGCCATAGATGCAGGCGAAACGTCAGGAGAAAATGCCTCTAGAACATGGCCATATAGCCCGAAAAAACCTACAACAACCCAGTGATTCCTGCCATGAAAGCCTTCGACAATACATATGAAACACAATTGTGTATTCTCTAGTTCTCCTTCATCCCTGGGCAACATCCTTGCAGACGGCCAATTCTCTCACACCAGAAGTGACTTGCAGTTTCTCAAGTCACTCCTGACACAGAAAAAAATACATTATATTCTTCACCTTCCTTCCAACATACTGATCAACATATAACAAATGCTTCCTATACAGCCAGTCCCCAAGCTACAAACAGGATAGGCTCTGTAAACTTGTCCTTAAGTTGAATATCTTTGTAAGTCAGGACAGATAGATTTTTGAAGTGTCACTTCAGCCAAGAATATATAGATATTAGCTTTGGATAGCATAGGGAAGGGTTAAATCCCTGTGGTGTTTGTTTTGCTATCGGTGCCCCTGTTCAGAAGATTTCACTGCACTTTCTGTCCTTGTGATAACTGGATTTTGAAAAATTTGGCTTGTTATGGAAACAAAGATTGGTGATCAAGCTTCAGTGGAGACACCCTTCCCCCATGATGACTCTTTCAGGAGTGGATTTCCCTTCTGAGGGGCAGATTACGCTCCCTTCCTGTTGTCTCACCCCATTCTTAACTATGAGTCGCCTGTAAGTCAGATGTTTGTAACTCAGGGACTGCCTGTATATAGTCTCTTTCATGCCCATCAACATCCAAGTTGGCTCTCTCACCCTCGACCGTTGTCCAGATGAAGAAAAAATGTATTGTTACCAAACTTTTGAAAGGTCTCGTAATGGTGGCGATCCATGTTTCCTGTAGATGGAGAGAGGAATGACGGGTGAGGATGAAAATAGAAGATTTTGTAAGAGAATGTTTTAAACATCTATATAATCATTTTCAGTACTCCTTTCAATGTTTATGCTGATGTCTTTCCAACACCAAGGGGCTTCTCCATCATAAAAGAACAGAAAGTAAAGAACAGTGCAATGAGCAATGGAACAGATTTCCAAAATTGTTCTAATTGTTTTAAGTAATCATTCTTAGCAAAGAGCAGTGGTTCTCAGCCTTCCTAATGCCGCAACCCCTTAATACAGTTCCTCATGTTGTGGTGACCCCCAACCATAAAATTATTTTTGTTGCTACTTCACAACTGTAATGTTGCTACTGTTATGAATTGCAATGTAAATACTGTATCTGATATGCAGGATGCATTTTCATTCACTGGACCAAATTTGGCACAAATACCCAATATGCCCAAATGTGAACACTGGTGGAGTTTGGGGGAATATAGACCTTCCCATTTGTGGGTTGTAGTTGCTGGGATTTATAGTTCACCTACAAACAATTCTGAACTCTACCAATGATGGAATTGAACCAAACTTGGCACACAGAACTTCTACGAGCAACAGAAAATACTAGAAGGGATTGGTGGGCACTGACCTTGAGTTTTAGAGTTGTAGTTCCCCTACATACAGAGAGCACTGTGGACTCAAACAATGATGGATCTGGACCAAACTTGGCCCAAATACTCAACATGCCCAAATGTGAACACTGGTGGAGTTTGGGAAAATAGACCTTGACATTTGGGAATTGTGGTTGCTGGGATTTGTAGTTCACCTACAATCAAAGAGCATTCTGAACTCCACCAACGATGAAACTGAAACAAACATGGCACACAGAATCCTCATGACCAATAGAAAATTCTGTGTTTTCTAATGCTCTTTGGCGACCCCTCTGACACCCCTCTCATGACCCCCCAGGTTGAGAAACGCTGCCGTAAGAACTTTTAAAAGCTAACTTTCCAGATCCCAGTTCTAAAGTAGCTATTTTCTATCCACAATGCTGCTTTTATCTTCTCTCTTCCTTCAACTTAAAAAAAAATCCCTGTGCCAGCCATTTATTGTAAACCTGGGCTGTTCACAATATTCTCTTCTATTTGGAATTTGAAAAGAGCAATTTGCTTTTTGGCCACAGCTTAACAAATTACACACACTAGAAAGGCTTTTCTCTCTCCCTGCCTCCATTTGTGATCAGTGCCAGTCATTTACACCCTTTCTCCCATTGCAATTACTTACGCTCAGTTTAATATTTCATAATTACTTTGGGTTCATCTATTAGCTTTCAAGTTGCTCCCACTGACTGAGGAATCGCCAGACATTTTGTTTCATTTCTGTGCTGATGATGGATGGAAGTGTTAATGAAGCAGATATTAGACTTATTCTCAGATCTTTAAACCATGTCTCAGCATATCTGCTCGTAGGATCCTTACACGTATCTGCTTAGAGGAACCCTTTAAGGCCAGAGTTGTATTAAATATCTGAGGTTCCTTCTACATTGCCATATAAAATCCAGATTATCTACTTTGAACAGGATTATATGGCAGTATAGACTCAGATAATCCAGTTCAAAGCAGATAATGTTGAAATTTGGACTGATAATTTATCTGAAATTTGGACTGATAAACATATTAATAAATCTACTTCTTGCAATGTAGGAATTTTCTTTGTCAACCAGCAAAGCCTGTGTGTGTGTGTGTGTGTGTGTGTTGTTGTTGTTGTTGTTGAAGGCTTTCATGGTCAGAATCACTGGGTTGTTGTAGGTTTTTTGAGCTGTATGGCCATATTTTAGAAGCATTCTCTCCTGACATTTCACCAACCCTGACATTTCACCAAACCAACCCTGTCCATCTGACATTTCACCTGCATCTATAGCAGGGGAAACATCACAACCTCTGAGGATGCCTGCCATAGATGCAGGTGAAACGTCAGGAAAGAATGCTTCTAGAACATGGCCATATACCCTGAAAAACCTAAACAACCCCAAAAAAATTAGTTACAATGCCATGTGTCCACTAGAGTGCACTGTAAGATGTCCTTATACATCACAATTCAGGGAATGCTGTGTGTGCGTGTGTGGAGTTGACTCTTTTAATAAGAGTCAGTGTAAGTCTCTCCATGTAATTATTCTCAAACTTTCTACTGAGAAGCAACTTTAAAAACAAAGTCAGGGAGGTATCATTTGTATTATGGGAAACGATGAAACCCAATCCATATATTTTATCCCGGAGCAGAGAAGGCAAGCAGGAGTGAGTCATACCTCCGTTATAACATGCAATATAGGGTTGCTGTGAGATCTTAGTGCATTATTAATACCTGTAATTAATGCGTTTGAGTTCTAACCCATATTTATCCAAAAGTGACTTGGGTTAGTAATGAACCCCAAGGGGAAGAAAAGATTAAAGTAGCACATTTTAATGATTAAAGGAATTCAGCAAGAAACTAGAACAAAAACATTAGCGTGACGTAATATTACTTTTGCAATGCGACCCTATATATGTCTCCTTAGAAGTCCCACTGATTTCAACAGAATATAGGATTGCAGCCTTAGGCCCCTTCTACACTGCCATAAAATCCAGTTCAAAGCAGATAATCTGGATTTTATATGGTAGTGTAGAAGGGGCCTTAGAGGCTTAACTACAGGTTGACATAAGACCTTGATTATTGGTTTAGGAAAAGCAGCTTGGGGAAGGAGATTTGAAATAGAGAAGCAGTTGTCTGTCTGTCTATATCTGTATGTGTGTTGCTGTGAATTTTCTGGGCTGTATTGCCATGTTTCAGAAGCATTCTCTCCTGACGTTTTGCTCACATGTATGGCAGGCCTCCTCAGAGGTTATGAGGTCTGTTGGAAACTAGGGAAAATGGATTTATATATCTGTGGAATGTCCAGGGTGAGAGAAAGAACTCTTGTCTGCCACCTTGAATAGCATTTATTGGCCTTGTAGCTTCAAAGCCTGGGTGGTTGCTGCCTGAAGGAAGGCCATTAAATGCTATCAAAGTGGTCATTTGCAACATTTACAATTGGCCACCTTGATTAGCACTGAATACATTCACACTTGCCTCCAACAGACAAGAGTTCTTTCTCCCACTCTGGATTTGTGGGTTTTAATGTTCAGAAAATATAATTCACAAATGGATTCATCCAATTCTCTGGAGGGATTTTTTTTTCTGAGAAAGAGATATGCTGCTACACAAACTGGGGATTTTTTTAAGACTAAGAACTTTTTGGAAAATGGAAATCTCCACAACCTTTTGGAAAATGGCTATTCATAGCCATTTGGGAAAACCAGGAATCTCCAGGAGAAGAGTTAAAAACTCACTTGAGTCAACCTTCTCCTTAGTAGTAAATATCCACTAGCAATCATGCAAGGCAAGTAGGTTTCTCAGCTGTTATACCTAGATATACCTAGACATCTCTCTGAACTGTTAGGGACAAAGATGTGCCAATGCACATAAATAAATAAATAAATAAATAAATAAATAAATAAATAAATAAATAAATAAATAGCAGAGTTTCAGAAGTCTGTTTTCAATTGCCCACAAACATCTTCACTCCCTTAAAATATATTGCATTTAAATCACGCTCTCAAGAGACCAAAAATAAAGTCTTTGTTAAAATAACATAGCTGGTTTACTCACAGACTTCATTAATTCAGCATACAGGTATATTGCATATCAATTCAGTTACAGATAGGATTTGAAGTAGTTTCTCTGTGCAGATAACACAAGGTATCCTTCTTATACTCAACAAACCAAAGTCTAAAGCATCTCTCTGGTCTGAGAGTCTAATAGAGTCTCTAAAGCATTCTATTTCAACTGACTTCTGTAGAGCATAGTGTTTCTAAAATGGAGTCTGAGTCCTGAACAGTCCCAGATCTGATCATATGGTCTGCAGCCCCTCCCACAACAGAAGAGTTAAGGAAAACTGCATACCAATACACACATATACAATGCAGTAAGCAATCTGAATTATACACCATCAAATTACTAGTGGAGACTTGAAGAAGGCTGCTATTTCCGACAGAAATGAACATTGGCTGGCATTCTATATTGCAATCACAGATTTGTAACCTAATATTAAATAGTTATTTATAATTGTGACACTATTGCCATGATCATAAATGTGCCCTCTAATGCACCCAATAGTCAATGTTAATAGGTTGCTTTCACGGGTGTAAACATATGGTGCATGAATTGTGTTTGACCCCTCTGCCTCTATTTGTTGTAAACAGAGGCAGAATGGTCAAATACATCTCATGGATCACTTCTTAACATCTGTGAAAATAACTTTTCTGTTAACATCTAGGGAAATAAATCACTAGGAACATATGGCATTTCCAATAGAGTCGCTAGCTAAAATCTGTCAACAAATATAGAAATGAAAACAGTGGCTTACAGATTGGAAACAATGTACATGCCAATCCCCAAGAAACAGGACATCTGGGATTGGAGTCACCACAGGGCCAGAGCATTTATCTCCCATGCAAGCAAAGTGGTGCTCAAAACTATGCAACAAAGAGTTTTATCTTATACTGAATGAGAAATACCAGAGGTCCAAATTGGGTTTAGGATAGGAAGAGGCACAAGGGATCATATTGCAAATATACATTGGATAATAGAGTGCACCATGAATAGTATACTGTCATGATGTGTAATCTGTACTCAGGACAAGAGACTAATACCCTGTTTCCCCAAAAATAAGACAGTCTTATATTAGTTTTTTGCTCCCAAAGATGTGCTAGGTCTTATTTTCAAGGGATGTCATATTTTTCCATGAAGAAGAATTCACCTTTATTGTTGAACAAAAAACGAAAGAAAGAAAAGAAAGAAAAGAACATTTACCATATAGTGTACAGTAATTTTCTGGTCAAACTGGTTGCCTGACTCACACACAAGGCCACAAAAATAAAAATAAAAAATAAGGGCTGTAAAGTACCTGGCTCCCACACACGTCTGGAGACTGTAAGGATCTCCTGG